GGATAAAACTACCACCATTCGATTCGTCTCAGTGAGACGATTCTAACAAGCTATGATACATCTTTGTACGATTATTAGATGCCAAGTTATTTAATATATTCTTTATATAACTGTGATTATAAACGGTTCTTTTTAATATAAGATTTTTGAGGATAGGTGTGATAGTGACTATAGATAGATTGTGACTATATAGGATAGATTTTAATAATAAAGTGTTTTGAACATTCAACTGGTGTGACTATATAGTAGAATGTGACTATAACGGGAGTGACTATAGAGGGAGTTGACTGTAGTTATCATTTTAAGTATTATCAAATGATAGAATATGGTTGTCATCATTGTGACGAATACTACAAATGCAAAATTTATAGTAATGTGAACTCTTTCTTAGATCAATTAGAAAAGGGATCAAATGTTTTTACTTTTGATGAACAAGACAAAACTTCAACAGAAGAAAATGAGACAGTGGAAGAAGTGGAAATAAATGGAAGCCAGGAAGTGCATACAGAACTTTTAATTGCACTTATTCATGTTAATACCTGGTGATATTGTCTGTAATTTAGTTAAAATGTATTAACTATTGTAATGTGTTATTTTTTTTCATGTATAAAAGACAAAATTAAATAAATTACTTATTCTTGTAATATTTTAAAACAAATACTCTGTTTAGAATAACATTTTGTAAGTTCAGTTTGAAATTTACTAAGAATAACTTCAATTTCAATCCTATTGCCATAATTATAGAAAATACTTCATATAAAATCTCTGAAACATTGGATGTCATTGGATGTTATTAGTTCTAGAGAAGAAAATAGATTTAAAGAACATATTTGTAAAGTTTCATTATGTGTCATTTAGTAGTATTTGTGGCTTATCATATGGTCGATTATAATTTAGTTGAATACTATTGTAAAATACATATAAATAATTGTGTAACAATTATTACCAAATTTAAACTTTCCCTATGCTTTCTCCTATAAACCAGTTATATATAGCCACTATTATACCAAATACTTAATATATATTTTACTTTTATTAATAATTAAACCTCTTTACAATAGATTTTCACATAATTTATGATATGTAAATCATAAAAAACATTTTTCTTTTTTTTAAAAAAGTCTTATATTTTAATACTTAGTTTTAATACAAACTAACCAATAAAATAGTATAGTAGTAGTACATTTATTAAGTAATTGTAGTTTATGATTACAGTTACACCCCTGTATATTTATCATTTTTAACTAAACCAACTTGGTGACTATAAAAGGGTCTAACTGTAGTTAAAAAGTTAACAAAATTTAATGTACTAGTTAACAAAAAAATAAATAAATAAATTAGTTATCTAAAAATTTATATAATTTTTTATGCTTATATTAATTATGTCGATCGTGTGACACATGACAATGACAAAACCTAAAATTGTTATGAACTTTATAAAAACATAAGTGAGTGCGATAAGAAACAAAACCATAAGTTGGATTTTTCAAAAATATAAAAGAAATTTATAAATAATTATAGGATATAATTAAAATTCTTTGCTAATAAGAGATTTCTTTGAGATAATTTTAATCGATACATATATGCTAAAATGAGGCTGAAATCTTTGAGGCTTTGATTGTGTTACAAAGCATTTTAATAAAAAAATTTATTTTGTATTTGAACCCATAAGTGGATAATGCCTCGTTTCTTTTTTTAAACCACATTTTTTCTGTTTAAAAAATTTGGGAAATAATAAGTTAAATTTTTTTAATAATGACAGCTTCATCTAGACCAGATGCAAATCAAAATAATTCTCCGAGAGGAAAATCCTTAGAAAATGATTTAAAACAGCTACTTTATGATAAAAGGTTCTTTGACATTAAGTTAAGATGTTCAGATGAAGTTGTCATAAATGCTTGTAAAGCCATCTTATCCAATCGTTGCAACGTATTTAATAATCTTATTTTTGATGAGTGTGGAAAAATTAATAATGATATTAAATTTTACGAAATTAATTCAACAGCAATGAATATTTTACTTGAATTTTTATATACTTCTAAAGTTGAAAAAGAAAGATTAACAGTTGAAAATGTTGTTGAAGTTTATTATGCAGCAATATATTTTGAATTAGATGTTCTTCAGAAACGTATTATAGAATTTATTAAACAATCTTTGGAAGAAAGAGATGAAGATTTAGGGAAAAAACTTTTATCCCAATTTGTCGAAAAATTTTCCACAGATGCAGATAATGAGATGGCTCAGGTTTTGGTCGATTGGGTTGCAAAAATTAAATTAGTTCCTATAGATGACTCATTATCATTGTTTGGATTAAAATACCTTTTATGTAAGACTTTCAGAGTTAGAAAACCTTTTGCGACTACAGAATTTTCTATCTGGGAATATGCCATGAATAAGGTTAAGAGAATAGTTATAAAGACAAATTCAACGATGCAAAATTATCCATTTAATATGGATTATGAACCAAATGTAATTCAAGAAATTAAAGATCATTTAAAACCATTACTTCCTTATCTTGATTTGTGTCGAATGGAATCAAATGAAATCGCTGATTATGTTGAACCTTTGGATATTTTTCCTACACAGAAATTATTGGATACTTATCGTCGAATGTCTCAGCAGTCTCAGTCTCAGTCTCAAGGAAGTAGAAATTTGGAAACGAATGAATTAGCATGTATTCGAGGAATTCCTATTTTTAGATGGATGTTGCAATCCGATGATACGAGTATAAACATTTCAAAAGATGGATTTAAACTTGAAGTTAACCAGCTGCAAAATTCTGTTAAATTTAGAACTGGAGATATCATTTTTAAAGGTAGCGGATTATATGAATGGGATATTGTAATCAAAAAATTGAGTAAAATTATTTATATTGGCATATGTAGTATTGATGAGGATGTTAATAAAAATGAAATAGATTATCATGGATATTGTGGGTGGGTTCTTGGTTCTGATGGTTACGTTTATCATAAGAAAGACTGGAAATGGTATGATGCAAGATTTAAAGAAAGTGATATTGTTACCGTTCATTTAGATATGACAAAGAAATCATGTTCTTTCTCAGTTAATGGTATAAGACGACCAAATGTTTCCGAATGGACAAATATTTCTTCTGAAGTTCGTCCTGTTGTTTCAATAAGACAAAGTGGCAAGTTACATGTACAACCTCATATTTAAGAATTTTTTCTGTATATTAAAAAAGTAAATGTTTAAAGAGAATAAATACTTTCTTTGAACTTCCAACATCGTCAACTTGTACCTCCTTTTATACTTTTTTTCTCTATAATAAATTTCATAATTCGTAAAGTTAAATAATTTATTTCTTGACTGAATCAAAAAAAGGTGAACGTTATTTGGTCGTGGCGAATGTTTAGGGTTTGACGGTTTGAATACCACACGACTCATAAAAAGTAATTTCCTTAACTATAGTATATCTCCTTGATGACCATTATTGAGCCTTGGAGTGGAACTATTTCCTTCCTTTTTCAAATACTAAACAGCATAGTACTTAACAATATATACTGTATATGTGAAAGGCATTTTAGTGATGAAAAGAATACCCTTATTAGTTGAACTTATCGGAAAAAGCTTCTCTACAAAATGAAAGATCTCGAAAACTCTTCTCGATAATCCTGATCAAAGATATGAGCAACTTATCGGGAAATGAGTTACGGTGCGAATTTAATATGACGTATAGGATTTTATTGTTTAGGATCGTTAAAAAATCATGAAGCCACATTCTTTAAAGAATGCGTAAATATTTATTACCGTAAACACAAACAAAAATGCGAATCTAAATCATAATAATCAAAATTCACGATGAAAAAAAAAAAATGTTTTATATGATGCCTCTTCACCCCCAAAAAAGTGTGTGGCTAATATGTTTTTGATTAGGGAATATAAATTATATGTATTTTTACTTTCATTTTTATTTTTCACAAAAACGAATTTGAACTCTTTGATTTTAAGAATTCGGATGACATTTAAATTTTTATGTATATCAACAAATACCAGATTCATGTTCGGATAGTGTAGCATGGTTAATAAGTTCACGGTAAGTGAAACATTCAAAGAGAAGTTTTTTAATTGGAGAAAATTTGTAATATTGAAGAAATTTGAGAGGAGAAAGTTCAAAAATTTTCAAAGTAGAGCCGGAGAAGTATTTAATAATGAATTAAAGTTATTGATGAAACGATTTTTTTAGCTTCAAACAAATTGAATTTGCAGAAGATAATAATGTTGTTATTATAATTGCTAAAGCTGAAAGTGAAAGAATTATTTTAAATGTTGAATATACTAGAAGAGATTATCCTTTTTTTAAATACTGTATTTATCAAATTTTACTTTTTATTATTAATTTTGTTAATCCTTTGCTACTCAATTAAACTTTTTAAAAGACTGTGTGGTTAAATTTATGGAAAAAAAGGAAGAGAAGGTATATGGCGTAATTATAAATCGGCATTTCCGACCGCATGTATACACTGATTATAACAGATAACTTGTTAGATTTCTATTTGACACCATATAATAATAATCCAGTATTAGATACTTGTATGATTTCATAACTAATTTTACTTTTAACAATAGTCATTTAAAGATCACATAGGTTATTCCAATTAAAGTTTTCACATCTGTCGAGAGATAATTTAACTTAAAATAAAAATTTTTTTGACGATCGAGATAAACCCTTTTTTTCCAAAAATGCTGTATAATTTGTACTACAATTATAAAACGATTATTGCGATTGTAGTTAATAATACCAAATTTAGTTGGATTGTGTGCTGCTGTAACTATGCATATAAAAAAATCGATTAGTTACTTCATTTGGATAGCTCTGTATTTCTGTGTATGGGAAATTTGATTAGATGGATTATGACTATCAGTTATCATTGAGCATAAAAAAACATTGAATAAAACAAGAGTTAGATGCAATATGAACCATTTACCGCTGAATTTGGTAAGTATATATATATTTCTTTTTTGAAAAAAAAATCGTATAAAAAAATCGATTAAACAACTTAAAAAATATTTTTTTTTTAGCCAAATAATAATGGCATCTCAATCTGATAACCCTCCTAATCCACCTAATTCATCTAATTCATCCCAACCTTCTCCCCAACCAAAATCTTTAGAAGGTGATTTGAGAAAATTATTATATGACGAAAGATTTTATGATATTTCTTTAAAATGTTCGGATAACATTGTATTAAATGCTTGCAAAAATATTTTGGCAAGCCGTACTGAAGTATTTAATGAATATATCTTTGATAAATCAAAAAAAAACAATGCAAATCAACAACGACAACAATTAGAGTTTGATAAAGTTAACTCAATAGCGATGAAACTTATTTTAGAATATTTATATACTTCAAAGAATGAGAAAGAAACTTTAAGTGTTTCTAATGTTATAGAAGTTTATTATGCTGCAATTTTTTTCAAATTAGATGACCTACAGAATGATATAATTGAATATACTATGAAAATTTTAAGAGAAGGTGATAAAACAGATGAAACAATAACTTATGGGACCGAAGAATTGAACGAATTGGCAAAAAAACTTTTATCAGAATTTATCGAAAAATTTTCATTAGATGTGAATAATGACATGAGTAAATTATTAGTTGATTGGGTAGCTAAAATACAGCTTTTCCCTGATAATGCTGATGGTGATTCATTATCATTAATGGGACTTCAACATCTTCTAAATAAGACGTTTGAAACCAAAGATCAATTCGCTACTTATGAACTTACTCTTTTCGAATATACTCTAGTCAAAACTAAACATATTATATTAGAAGAGAAGACTGGCTCAAAAAAGCCTTATGATATGAATTACGATTCAAATGTGATCGAAAGAATTAAGGATCGTTTAATGCCATTACTTCCATTTATTGACTTACGCATAATAGATCCTGATGATGTTGTATTAAAACTCGAACCTTTAAAATTATTTCCACAAGAAATGATTACAAATGCTTATCGTTATAGGATAGAAAAAAAGCACGAACTGCTTCAACCTATACGCGGTCGGATAACTTTTAGATGGAAATACGAATTCGAAGGTAAAGAATCTAAGGAATCCAAAAACCCACCTCCGCCCCCAATTATAACCAACAACGGATTTACCGTAGAAGTTGATTCAAATATTAAAAATTACCAATCTATAATGGGAGATTTAGTTATCAAAGGTAACGGAATTCATAAGTGGGACATTTCAGTTGAAAATTTAAATGATACTATTTATATTGGAATATGTGGTAAAGATGAGAAATTTGATAAACCTGGGGATAAAACTTATCAATATGGATGGGCACTCGGTTCGGATGGCTATGTTTATAATAAGAGAGATTGGAAATGGAATAACGCCAAATTTACAGTAGGCGATGTGGTTAATATTACCGTAGACATGACCGCTAAACATTGCTATTTTAGTATAAATAATCAAACTTTTTACGAAGTTATTGGTCATGCTTTTCCTGATGAATTATATCCTTTTGTTTCATTAAACAAGGGTGGTAAATTACATATAAAATAATTATCATTTCTCCTTACCAAATTAGAGATTTTTCTTTTATTTTAACAAATATGTATTTGATTATATCTTTTAAATAAATAACGATAATATTTAAACCTTCCATAAAAAAAGTAAATTTCATATGATTATCAGAAAGCTTTGTATTATGTATTAAAAAAACGAGTTTTTATTATTTCATTGTGTAAAGATACCATTGATTGTGATCATTGCATGTCGTTCTTTATTTGATATAATATTTCCAAATATGGTATCATTTCACTGAATTATTTGTTTTCCAAAATTAGTGTGGAAAAAAAAAAAAAAAATTTTTAAAGGTTGAAAATCTTTTCCCTCAAATTTAAACTTTTTTTTTAAAAAAAAAAACCACGAGATTTGTATAACTTAAGTTTTACGTTTTATAAAATAAATGACAATTTCAGCAGAACTTGAGCTTGAGTCTATAATGATGGTTTCACCACGAAGAAAATTAGAAAATAATTTGAGAAAATTATTGGAAGATGAAAGATTTTTTGATATTACTTTAAAATGTTCAGATAGTCTTACATTACGTGCGTGTAAAAATATTTTAGCCGTTCGTTCTGAAGTATTTAATGACCTTATCTTTGATAATGTCGATAAACCAAAAAAACAACTTGAATTTAATAAAATTGATTCAGTGGCGATGAAATATATATTAGAATATTTATACACTTCTGAGAATGAACGAGAAACGTTAAGAAAAAATAATGTGATAGAAATTTATTTTTCATCAATTTATTTTAAACTTAATGAATTACAAAAAACTATAATTGAATTTACAGAAAAAATTTTAAGAAATGGAGATGAGGAATTAGGAAAAGATCTTTTAACAAGTTATATTGAAAAATTTTCTTTAGAAGCGGATAATGATATGGCCAATCTTTTAGTTAATTGGGTAGCTAAGATACAATTATTACCCCATGAAGCTGATAGAGATTTATTATCATTGACAGCATTACATTATCTATTGAAGAAAACATATTGTACCGATAAGTCATTTGGAACTTATGAGCTTACACTTTTTGAATATACTCTTGTCAAGGCGAAATATACTGTATTAGAGGAAAAAATTGGTTTGAAAAAGGATCCATATGACATGAAATATGATTCAAATGTAATCGAAAGAATTAAGGAACGTTTAACGCCCTTACTTCCTTATATTGATTTACGTATAATAGATCCTGATGAGATTGTAAATAAACTTGAACCTTTATTTCCATCGGAAATGATTACAGACGCTTATCGTTTCAAAATAGAAAAGAAGCATGAAAAATTACAACCTATGCGTGGAAGGTTAATCTTTAAGTGGAAAAACTTTGGGAAAGATCTTTGGCAAGCTGAGAATAGGTTATACATAAGTAACAATGGATTTACCGTAGGAGCTGATTCTAAACTTAAAAACTACAAATCTATCATGGGAGATTTAACTATTAAAGGGAAAGGAATTCATAGATGGGATATTTTAGTTGTAAACTTGAATGATACCATTTATATTGGAATATGTGGTTTTGAAGAGGAATTTAATAAACCTGGTGATAAAGGGTTTCATGGATGGGCCCTCGGTTCTGATGGGTATATTTATAATAAGAGAGATTGGAAATGGAATAGTTCTGTATATAAGATAGGTGATGTTATTAACATTATTGTTGACATGGACTCTAATCATTGTTATTTTGGTGTTAATAATAATATTCGGTATGAAAATTTTGGTCATTCATTCCCTGATGAAATTTACCCCTTTGTTTCTCTAAAAAGAGGTAGTAAATTACGTTTAATATCATATTAATCATATTAATAATGAACAAATATTATATATAATTATATAAATTTATATATATATATATATATATTGTATATATCAGATATATATATTTTTTTTTTTCACAAATTAAAAATTTTGTAACTTATTTTCGATCGCGTTACTTTTGATTTTTTATGATAAAGTCATTTGATGGTCGATTAAATTTAAATTTAGTTAATACATAACTGATAACGACTTATCTTCATATGAGGGATCACATATTAGTAATTACACAAGTTAATCAAACCTTAAAACTCTTTGAAGAAGTCTTCCCCTAAAAATTCATTATAAATGGTCAAAGATCTTTTTTTTTTTTTTAAAAAAAAAAAAAAAAAAATCAAGACGCAATTTATCCCACAATGACAAATTTAACCAAACCAATAACGAAACAAATTATTAAGACACGAGGAGAATCATTGGAAAATGATTTGAGAGCATTACTTTATAACGAAAGATTTTTTGATATCAAGTTAAAATGTTCTAATGGTATCGTTTTGGGAGCATGTAAAAATATTTTATCCGCTCGTTCTAATGTATTCAATAATTTTATACAACAAAAAAATATGAATAATATTGAATTTGATAAAATTGATTCAAATGCAATGGAATTTATTTTAAATTTTTTATATACTTGTGAAATTGATCTTGAAAAATTGACGATAGATAATATTATTGAAATATATCACGCGACAGAATATTTTGAATTAGATATTCTTCAAAAACATATTATTGAATATACTAAACAAATTTTAGAATATGAAAATGATGATACAGGAAAAAAACTGTTATCAAATTTTGTTAATAAATATTGGTTCAATAATGATAATGAAATTTCACAAGTTTTGATCGATTGGTTAGCAAAGATTTCATTGGTTCCTGATGAAGCTGAAAAAGATTCATTATCATTGATGGGATTACGATATTTTTTGTGTAAAACTTATGATACTAGAAAACCTTTTGCAACATTCGAACTTGATATTTTTGAATATATCATTATTAAGATTGTCAAAATTATCGTAAAAAGTTTAGAAATCAAAGATAAACAAAATGAGAAAGAAATTATTTCCAAGAGAATAAATTATTATTTAAAATTATTAATTCCTTATATTGATTTACGTAGAATTGAATCCGATTATATTATTAAAAAAATTGAACCAATGAACGTATTTCCTTCTGAAATGATTACAGATGCTTACCGATTCAAATTACAAGAACAAAATAAAATATTTCGATCTATTCGTGGAATTCCAATATTTAGATGGAATGATAATAATTTACATGATAACTTATATATTTCTAAAGATGGATTCACCTTACAAGCTGATCAAAATCTTGACGCGTATAAACATGTGATTGGAGATTTAATTATCAGAGGGAAAGGAATTTATGAATGGGATATTATAATTGAAAAATTGTGTAAAACTATTTATATTGGTATTTGTGATCATAAAGAATTTAATCAAGAATTTTGTTATAATAATCAATATTATGGTTGGGTTCTTGGATCAGATGGTTTTGTTTATAATAAAAAAAAATGGAAAAAATATACAAGTGAAAAATTTAAGGAAGGAGATAAAGTTACGGTACATTTAAATATGACAGATAAAACTTGTGCATTTTCGGTTAATAATTTTAGGAATGATGATGTTACTGAATGGAAAAATATTCCTTCTGAAATTTGTCCTATTGTCTCATTGAAACAAGGTAGTAGATTACGTATACAACCTCATTTTTTACTATGAATTATAAATCCTGTATTAAATAAATTAGTTATTAGCCTTGTATGATTATTATAATAAAAGTATCACAAAAAAAAAAAAAAACCTTATATAAGTTTTCAGGATTTTTAATGTTGTACCGTTCGCGCTAATTATTAAACGGATCGGAAAAAAGTGGTAAATAATAAATTGATTTTTTTTTTCGTTCTTCAACAATATTATTTTTTTATTGTAGCTGACAAAAGTCGATAAAATAATTAAAATTGATATAAAATTTACGTCTCGTTTTCTTTCTAAGGTGATAGTGGAAGAAGAGGTGATAGCGGGTTATATAAGTCGTGGGAAAGTTAACTAAATAAGATTTGAGATAAGCGAGATTGCCATGTGAAGTGAAATTGATTAACCATATCTAGCATAAATTATATCATAATACAGACATTAATCAAACGTTAAATAAATAAAGGGTATTGAACTCCAAGAAAAATAACCAAGAAAAATCAAAAAAAGTTTTACCTGAAAACCTATCGCAATCAATCTTTCTAATCCTTCTTTCTTGGATTATTTATATATACAAATGCGCAACACATATATATTACTTTATTGGTGTTACCAATTGATTCGTTGGTGTTTGAAATCTGTGATTTCTAGTCATATTGTAAATGCTCTTATAGCAACTGGTTGTTCAGGAATGGTGATTGGCACCTTAGTTTATGGTACCAGTTATTGTATTATACGTAATAAAAATAATAATAATAATAATAACAATGAAGCATTAAAATTTGTTGAAGATGTTTTACACGATGCTGCTTTAGAAACATTAATGAGCTTTATAGGAAAAGTAGTGGCTCCAAAAATTATTAGATATAAAACATCTAAAGGAATTGCAAAAATAATCACAGCAAGTAAAAAAATCTCTTACTTAATATTAAAGGAGATTACAGAATTTATCACATGTTTCAGCAAGGTAACTTCTCTCTTGTTGAATTAAAAATACTATAAAGATTTTTTAGTAGTAACATAAATTATCTTTAGTGAAAATATCAAAAATGATTAGAAATATTATCTGATACTATTATTTAGTTGAGAAAAATATGATTAGACAAATAAAGTATCATACATTCATACTGATATATGTAAATAACCAAGTATGAAAACAAACTTGGAACTTAGAACGTAAATAAACTTATCATTAGCTATAAATAATCATAACCTTTTTCTGATAATCACTTAAAAGTCGTGTAACACTAATCAATGTTCATATGTAGTGTGTTTGTACAGTATATATATATATATATTTATATATATACAATCCACAATCCATCCTTTTATAATATTGAAACTTTTCACATCTCCGCTTAAATATTTACTTGGTTCGTTCGAATTTTTTTTTCTTTGTACAGTTTACTTTTCAAAAATTCGTGTAACCTCTATTCTATTAGTATTCTATTACGTTATTACAATGTTAACAATATATTGTATTATTGTATCGCTGTCGCGATTTAATTAAAATTAATTAGAATAAATTAAATTTTACCAAAAATAAAATAATACATTTGATATTTTCTCAATATAATTGATGTCCACGTGGTTAATCAACAGGAATAACAGGAATTTTAACTTTTTTTTTAAAAAAGTAAACAAATAACATATATGTCTTCAAATCATATGCTTTATCATAAAGATTTCTCATGATAGCCAAATTAGTTAAGCCACAACATTTTCTCCAACCTATTTTTTTTTTTTTTCCTTTTTTTTTTCGAAAGAAAAAATTTTTTTCTTTTACTTTTTTCTTCGATAGATAATATCATGACAACATTATTCAAATCAAAAAAAAATCATAATAAACCATCTATACGAGGAAAATCATTAGAGAATGATTTGAGAACTTTACTAAATGATGAAAGATCCTATAATATTTCTTTAAAATGTTCTGATGGAGTTACGTTACGTGCATGTAAAAATATTCTAGCAACTCGTAGCGATGTATTCAACAATCTTATCTTTAATAAATCAAAAGCAGAAATTAAAAATATTATATTTACAAAGATTAATTCTACTGTCATGAAGGTTATATTGGAATTTTTATATACTTCAAATATTAAAAAAGTGGATTTAACAGTTAAGGATTTTATAGAAATGTATTATGCAGCAAATTGTTTTAAATTAAATGAACTCCAAAAAGATATTATTGAATTTACCAAGAAAATTTTAAATGATGGAGATAAAGATTTAGGTAAACAACTTTTATCTCAATATGTTGAAATCTTTACTATAAAAAGTTATAATGGAATGTCAAAATTATTGATTGATTTTGTGGCAAAATTTAATTTAAATCCTTTAAAAGATGATTCTTTATCATTATTAGCTTTAAAATATCTTTTATCAAAAACACTTGATGTTAAAGTACCTTTTGCCACTACAGAATTTGAATTATTTAAATATACTTTAATCAAGATTAAAAGAATCATTATTAAAGATTATTATTTACCTAATCAAGATTCAGCATTTATTATGGATTATGAACCAAATATAGTTAAAGATATACAAAAACAGTTGAAACCATTATTACCTTATTTTGATTTACATCGAATGGATTTCATGTGCATCATGAAATATGTCGAACCTTTAAATGTCTTTCCTTATGAAAGATTATTAGATGCTTACCGTTGTAAAATTGATGAAAATATTTCTGCTCAAGAAATTATTAATAACTCAAGATTAATTCGTGGTGTTCCTATTTTTAGATGGCAAGCTTATCATGAAAGATTCATCGAATTAAATTATGGTTTTCATGTTTCAAAGGATGGATTCACTGTAGAAGTTAGTAATATTAATGATAATTCTATTAAATCTATGATAACGGATATGATCATTAAAGGAAAAGGAATTTATGAATGGGATATCGTAATCGAAAAATTACATAAAACTGTTTGGATTGGATTATGTGATTATGATAAAACATTAGAAGAAAATGTAATAATATATATTCAAAAATATCATGGTTGGCTTCTTTGTTCTGATGGTTATGTTTATCATAAGAAAGATCGTAAATGGTATGATGCTAAATTGAAAGAAGGTGATATTATTACAATTCATTTGGATATGACTGAAAAATCTTTTGCGTTCTCAATTAATGGTAAAAAATATCCAATTGTTTCTGAATGGAAAATTACTTCTAAAATTATTCCTGTTGTTTCATTAAGACAAGGAAGTAGATTACGAATACAACCTCATTTAAACGAATTGTCTTAGAGATATTCAACCTTTTTTTTTTTTTTTTTTTTTTTTTTTTTTTTATTACTTGAACATTTGGGTTAATATTTATTTTATAAATAATTTATGTCAAATAAAATTTTCCAACCATTTTTATTATCAAAAAAAATTATAAAATTGTACCTTCATATTTATGATTGTACCAAGAATTTTATTTAGGATAAAAGTGGTAAAGGGAATCGAGTGTAACGAAACCTACTGTAAGTTTATTTTGGTTCATCTTACAATTAATTATTCATTCATTCATGCCATTCAACTTTATCTATTATTAGGAAAGTTAGTAAATTTTGTCCCACCAAAGTCGTCCGTTTTCCGAGATCTTCCATAGAATTCCTAAATAAGAATTTACTGAGCATAATAATATCCTAGAAAAAGTTGCCGTTTGACAAAAAATCTGCTAGGATTGGAAATTAAATAATATTATTGTATAGTATACGTTGTTTGGTCATATTTTCAGTTGACTTATTATGTATTAATAAGGTCAAAAAACAAAGCAATAAATTTTGTGTTTCTGGAATATTTTACCCGGATCGCCAACTGAACTACATGAAATTATCAAACAATAACATACTGCGGTTTGTATTAAAAAAAACAAAAACAATATAATAAATTAAGGGATTTTTTTATAAAAAGGCATTTTTGTACGGAATCTAATGAAACATCCTTCAATTGGATCCATTTAATTATTTTTTTCTTATTAAGTATGGGTAAACCTAGAAAACAAAGATGGTGTGCCAACTACTATCCACCTGATCCGGATAAAACTGACGAAGATATTGTAAATGATTATATCTATAGGTATAATATAAATAAAGAAAAATTCTATAAATTGTTGACTAACTCGAAAAAAACTCGACGTCATAAAAGTCAAGAGAAATCAGAAAGAAATGGAACCATCAAAGTTAAAACACCTCCCCGCCCTCAGAATAGGTTTATTTTATATAGGAGATTTAAATCACGTAGCCCCAAATTTAAAAAAAGGCGAAAGGAGGATAGAAAAGTTAAACTTACATCAAAAGAAATAGCAATTCTTTGGAAAAATGAGACGGAAGAAGTAAAAAAGGTTTTCTGTGCTCTTGAAAGGATGGTCAAGATAAAGCACAGGGAGGTTTATGGAGATGATTATAAATATAAAAAAAAGAAAAGAGGGTCATCGATCTCATCTGACAATTCTTCAACCGAATCATTACCATATTATCAAGCTTCCCAATCTTCAACAGATTCATCCAATATGAGCTTGCACACACTTGGAGACTCTACCTCGTCCAACTTAAATTCGCCGAATCAAAACATGATGAATGATGCCATTCCAGGAGATTCGCACAATCACAACTTTACTAATAACGCTCATGGAGATTCTACCTCTCCCAGCTTAAATTTGCCGAATCAGAACTTGATGATTGATGCCACTTCTGGAGATTACTTGAGATCGTACAATTACAACTTTACTAATAACACTCTTGGAGATACTACCTCGCCCAACTTAAATTTGCCGAATCAAAACATGATGAATGATGCCACTTCTGGAGATTACTCGAGATCGTACAATCACAACTTTACGAATAACACTCTTGGAGATTCTACCTCTCCCAACTTAAATTTGCCGAATCAAAACATGATGAATGATGCCACCTCTGAAGATTACTCGAGATCGTACAATCACAACTTTACTAATAATACTCTTGGAGATTCTACCTCGCCCAACTTAAATTTGCCGAATCAAAACATGATGAATGATGCCACTTTTGGAGATTATTCGAGATCATACAATCACAACTTTACTAATAACATTCTTGGAGTTTATACCTCGCCCAACTTAAATTTGCCGAATCAAAACATGATGAATGATGCCACTTTTGGAGATTCGCACAATCACGACTTTATTAATAACATCCTTGGAGATTCTACCTCGCCCAACTCGAGATTGCAGAATCCAAACTTGATGAATGCCGACGCTTTTAGAGATTCTACCCCACCCAACTTGATTTCGCAGAATCAAAATACAATGAATGATGCGACTTCTGGAGATTGCCCCGGCTTCACCTACATTCTTGAAGATTCTACTTCATCGAGTTCGCAGAATTACAACTTACCTAATTATGCTTCTACCTTACCCGACTTATTCTATGATCAGGATAATTTAAACAATTATGCTAATTCTACCTCACCCAACAATGACGCATTTGGATTTTACACTCAACAGTCTTCCAATTTTGATTCAACGGATCCTTTTGAACCTGATTATATGGTTGATAATACATACTTATATTTCGACTTCATCGTACGACAGTTACTTGAATCAAATCTGAAACAAAGTGTTTCAGGGTATCTATAAAAAAAATCAAACCCAACTGAAAGTCTATAAGAAGTCAATATAATAACTTAGACAAAAATATCAACCAAATCTTTTTTGAAAGGGTTCCTTTGAGTCACCGGGCATATGGACCGATTCGGATATTTGAACATCGCAGATCACGTAAGGAATTTTCCGTTCGTCTTATTCAGATTCCAGATAATTCACTAATTGTTTTATTTCTTCTAATTACAATTAAAGGTCGATGGTCAAATGTCCGAATCGGACCGTATGCCCGGAGACTCCGAGGCACCCTTTCAAATAGATTTGTTTGATACTTTTGTAATTTATTATATAAACTTTGCATAGAAATTTCACTTCTTGTGCTTACAAATTATATTACAGATTGACTCTAAGATTAAATTATACGTACTTATTTATAGAAATGCATAGCTTTTCCTCTTTTTTATTTTTTTTATTTTTTTTTTGTTCTTTTATAATTTATTTTATATTTATTAAATATGCATTTATCATTCTTTTTAAATAGAAAAAGTTGATGCTAAAAATGTTGACTGCGTAATGAAGCTATAAAGAAAAAATTTCATCACCGATAAAAAATATTACAGTAAATAGATTCTGTGATCTAAACCAAATAAATATAATTCAAAATAAAATAAAACGGGTTTTACGCGCTTTTTCCAAAACTTGATTTAATAATGTTCATTGTGTTACCAAAAAAAAAATTTAGCTATTTACGTTGAAGATAAGGCGCAATTATGTAAAAATGATATCATAACTTCATTATCTTTCATTATCAACCTTTTTTGTCCAAATGAGAAAATCATACTACGCATTGTATACTATAAATAAAGATTTTCATGGCTACGGCCTACTATTTTTAGAATTTGGAGAAGTATCTCCGAGACCGCCATTAACTTGTAAGGTATCAATAATCCTTTCATAAATTCTTAATAAGGTTAAAAAATTACAATGTGATTCCTTTTGAAAAAAAAGATTATTAATTTTAATTGGTTTCATCTTGTAAAACTGTAAAGTTAAAGTAACACTGCATATCAATAACGAGATCGACGCGTAATTTTATAATTTATACACCGTAGAATTCCCGCTGAAAATTCTCAAATTTTTTTCTTTTTCTTTTTCTTTTTTTTTTTTTTTAATAGATTACGATTACAATGGAATATACCTTTACCAATAGTTTCCAGTCAGATGACGAAATTATTAATGGAACAACTTATGCATTTTCTTTAGATATGAATACTTTGTTGGGTAATTCACGAACGAACAAACGTGCAGAAAAATTCCAGAGTGGAGAATTGAGTCGTCCACCAAAATGTCAAAATGCGTTTATTTTATATAGGAAGGACAAGATGGCCAGTCCCGAATTTAAAAATAGACCAGCTGAAGATAGAAGAGCTTGTGACGTTTCGAAAGAAATAAAAGCTCTTTGGAATAGGGAACCAGAGCATATAAAATCACTTTTCCGTGCTCTTGCGAGAAAGGCTGAACAAATACATTCCGAGAATTATAGACAAGAAACTGAAATTTTGGAACCTGAAGAACAAATATATACCATTGATCAAGCATTTACCGAGCAATTTCAGCACATACAAGATAACAATATGCAAGATTTATTCGATATTAATACACGTCAAATATATATTCTATCTAACTCTAACCTTAACTTTTGTGAGCCAATAATTTTTGAATACTATTCCTCCGAGATTGGAATAGCACAACAAGCACACGATTATCCTTCCATGGTCGGAGAAAATGGAACAGCGCAAGAAACAATTACGGCAGCACAACAAGAATACTATTATCCCTCGTGGGATGGAAGGGATGAAACAGCACAAGAAACACACGATTTGATTGTAACAGCAGCACCACATGCGCTTTTAAGATTGAATCAGTTCAATTAACGTAATGATTTTTCCCTCTGAGAAGTTAACATTAAACAAGATCAATTGATTATCTGTTGAATAACATCTTCCATGTCGGTGTCAATACAGGATGGTAGGTCTGTTTTGGCAATGAATATGGAGGATATATTACTCAATGGGTAGTTGGTTGATTTTGCTATGTTGCTTTTCATAGAATATAATGAATGGTGATGGTAAATTTTAATTTTATATTGATTAGTTTTTGGATCATTGGTTTTTTGGGAATTATATTCTTATTAAAATTAAATAAACATATAATTATTTCACTCTTTATATTTATATTTATTTGCCTTTTTATTTTAATTTTATTGAAATGTAATTTGTTCTAATATAAAAATAAATAAAAACATCCACTTCGAAAATTATAATATAAAATGATTGGTTTTAAATATCATTTGTTTTAATGTTAAAAAAATAAAGTCGCAATTTTTATATATTGCCTGCGAAAACATTATTCAGAATCAGCGTGTAAAATTATTCTTTATTCCTTGAGATCGTGACTTACTGTTAATTTTTAATTAAAATAACTACAAGAGGCTAAAATAATTAAGCCAAGAATTCTTTTATTTGCATACAAAATTGTTATAGATTTGGTGACGTGTTTGATTAATTAAAATGAAAATGATTTATTAATAAAACTTAAATAAAAACTCGGAGTGTTGGTTATTTTTGGAAACAAATGCTTTTATGACCCCTATTTTTGAATGAAAGAATTCTGTGACTAGATCTTCAAGGATGTGATCTTATTTTAGAAAATAGCGCTTTATGATATCATGTGGTGTGTTCGAGTTATAAAGTAATCATATGTTACACATTCGAATTCAAACAATAACCAAGCTGCGGTATGAAAAGTCAAATAAATTATAAAGGACGACTACTCGATGAAAATTCCTAAATTTTCCTACAAGGTTTTATCATTATCCTCTTAAAAAAAATTATCCTCTTAAAAAAAAATTTTTTTAAAAAATTTTATTTAGCGATGGGTAAATTTAATCAACGCAACAAATCTTCTGCGCATAAGAGAAATAATAAAAAATTTGCGCCTGATCCTTGTAAATCAGATGAGGATATTGTTAAGGACTCGATTCATCTGTTTTATTTAGATATAGATGAGTTACTTACTAATCCAAATACAACTCGTCGTTATAAAAAAATGTTGAGAACCGGAATTGGAAATCCACCACGTCCTCAGAATGCATTTATGTTGTATAGAAGGAATCAAATGGCTGGTCCTCTATTTATAAATAGAGCACCTGAAGATAAAAAAGCGAAATTTATTTCAGGTGAAATAGCAGGTTTCTGGAATAATGAAACAAAAGAAGTAATGAAAACTTTCTATGCTCTTCAAAGAATGGCGAAGAAAAAACATGGACAAATTTATGAAAATTATAAATTTATAAGAAATTTTAAAAATCAACTAAAAATTCGAAAAACTGAAACCTATGAAGAGTCGTCTGTATCATCCCGTTCTTCCTCAACTGAAACATTTCCTGAATCGTCGCCAAATGAAGTCATAGCTTCACCCAATTCAACAAATTATGTATCGCAATCCTCAACGGAATCTTTTGAATTCGACTCTATTATTAGTTCCATTTGTGACAATATACAAGATTATGATATTATTTACGACTCATTTGGCCAACCATACTTATTTAATACTAAAACGGATCAAATTTGTTTTTTACCTAACATCAACTTTGATAATTATCAAACGAACGAAATGATGTTAAACACTTCCCAGCAACCATGTATTATTCAACAACCTGAATTAGCAAACATTCCTCAATCATATAATGAATTAGCAAACACTATTCAACAACCTGAATTAGCAAACATTCCTCAACAATCATATAATGAATTAGCAAACACTATTCAACAACCTGAATTAGCAAACATTCCTCAGCAATCATATAATGAATTAGCAAACACTATTCAGCAACCTGAATTACCAACCATTCCTCAACAATCATATAATGGTCCTGAATTTATTCAACAACCTGAATTAGTAAACATTCCTCAACAATCATATAATGAATTAGCAAACATTATTCAACAACCTGAATTAGCAACCATTTTTCAGCAATCATATAATGGTCCTGAATTTATTCAACAACCTAAATTAGCAAACATTCCTCAACAATCATATAATGAATTAGCAAACACTATTCAACAACCTGAATTACCAACCATTTTTCAGCAATCATATAATGGTCCTGAATTTATTCAACAACCTAAATTAGCAAACATTCCTCAACAATCATATAATGAATTAGCAAATACTATTCAACAACCTGAATTACCAACCATTTTTCAGCAAGAACGAATATATGACTATCGCCCTGATTTCAACCTTTCTCAACAAATACTTTATAATATGCTCTTTGAACAAAGCCCTCCCAAACAAGATGGTTATTCCCCTGGATGTTCTTACAAAAAGTCAACATAGCAAAGTATCAAAGGTATCAACTTAAATATCTGAAATAACGCTCTTTGACTCAAATCAACATAGCAAAGTATCAAAAACACAACTAAAAATATACAAGACTTTCAGATTTTTAGTTGATTTTTTGATACTTTGCTATGTTGACTTTGCGTAGAACATTCTAGCTGCTCAAAGCCAATACTTTACCAACATATCCGATAAGTTCTCAAAGATATGAGCGACTTAAGCGACCTATGATAGCCGATCAACGCCTTATGTTCTTTTTTACTTAGTAATGCAGAATTTAGTTTTCTTTTTAATTGATTTAATTAACAAATTGCGCTCTGTGAGTATCGTGCAATTTGTTAATTAAATAAATTAAAAATGAAACGAAAAAAAAACTTTATTCTTATATTTTATATATACAATTTATATTTATCTATTTTTATTGGAGTGTAATTTCTATTTTATTGGAATGTAATCTTTTTATTAAATAATAAAATATCATTTTAAATAGAAATTATAAAAAATATTTATTACGGATTTGTCGAATGTGTTGCTGCACAAACGACATTTTATTCTAAAATCCGTATGCATTTGTTTTTCTAATAAACATTTCGAATTTAATAATGATATACACTTTAATGATTATTCATAGTATGAACAAGCAAAGTATGCCTCAGATAAAAAATATGTTGATCCGCATTATGTTTTATAGCCTTAAATTATGGAAAATTTCATCTCTCTAACACGGATATCCGTCATTTTCACGAGAAATAATGGAAAAATATTCGGATAAAAATTTTTACAGGGTATACATTTTCAAACAATGAAAAAAAGTGTGGTGCTTACGTCAATTACGTGACGTGGTTTAAAATTAAGCACAAATAATAAAAATATTAATAGTTGATCTCTCACATATTGCCACCGGCGTACAAGATTTCAACCATGACCTTAGTAAGGAAAAGATTGATTAGCTACGAACGAAGATATGATCAACCTTTCATGCTTTGTGTTATGTTACATAATAGGTTATTCAACAATGATATCGGAAAACTAACTACGAAAGATAAAGTAAATATATGATCAACAACAATAGCATGCTTCAGACTATTCATGCTGAATTTTTTTTTTTAATAAAAAAAAATTGCTTCCGAAAAAAATTTCGATAAAAATATTCTTGAAATATTTTTAATTTTTTTTAATTGACAATGGGTAAATTCAAACAACAAGAAGGACGCATCAAATCTTTTGCGCATAATAGAATTGAGAATGAAAATAAACCAGACGAGGATATTGTTAAAGAGTTGAGTCATCTACTTTATTTAGACATTGATGAATTACTGATTAATTCAAAAGAAACTCGTCGTTATAAAAATCTAAAGAGGAGGGGAATTACCGAATTTGAAAAACCCCCACGTCTTCAGAATATATTTATTTTATATAGAAGAAATAAATCAGCCAGCCCTGAATTTAAAAACAAGCTAAAGGTGGATAGAAAAGTTAAACTTACATCAAAAGAAATAGGAATTCTTTGGAAAAATGAGACGGAAGAAGTAAAAAAGCTTTTCTATGCTCTTGAAAGGATGGCCAAGAAAAAACATAGAGAAATTTATGGAGATAATTATAAACCTGAAAGGAAGAAAAGTCAACCAAAAGATCGAAAAAATAAAAATAAAAAAGAGTTGTCGATGTCATCCTCCTCTTCCCCAGCCGAAACATCTTTGGGACCACAGATCCATACTTCGCAATCTTCAACGTTAGATGAACTTCCTTATCTACAGGATGATGATTCGCAATCTTCAATGGATTATGCCTTATCCGACTTGTTGTTTGAAGAACCTGCATCTCCTCACTTATCTAATAACATTTCCCAATTTCCAACGAATTCTACCCTATCAGAGTCGAGAACTAATGACATTGTTTCAACGAATTCCATCCCACCCGACTCGAGATACCTAATTAATGATATTTCACAAATTTCAACGAACTTTACCCCACCCGACTCGATTACACCTTCAACACAATATTTAACGAATTCAACGAATTCTTTTGGATCTATTTGTAGTTATACACAAGATTTTGTTATTCACTACTTGTCAGACAAACCATATTTGTTAGTTAATATTAAAACGGGGCAAGTGTATTTTCTATTTAACTCTGATCTCAACTTTTATAATTTTGTATATGATTATGAGCAATCTCAACAAGTAAATAATTCCTTACAATCCAATCCAGATGAAGGTTGTTATTATGAAAAATCAACATAGCAAAATATCAAAAAAACAACTACATTCCCGAAATCAATCACGCGGATTTCAGGAATTTACTTGTTTTTTTGATACTTTGCTATGTTGATTTTTCATACGACATCACTCATTATCAATTATAGATGGTTTTTTCTGAGATTAGTATAATACTTTGTTAGTTAATACTACGTTCTGGTAGTAATGGCCAATTTTATTTCACCTTCTAAATAGATGAACTATCTCTTTATGCTTTATCTTTATTTTATTTTATTTTATTTATTTTATTATTATCAGTTTTCTACTTTTTTTTATATAATTTATTGGAACGAATTTGTTAATTATAAAAATAATAAAAATATTATTTTAACATGAAATTTAAAATAAGAATACAAGGTGTTACTTTCAAAGTAAAAAACTATTTTTTTGTTTTTTCTGTAGTTTGGAATGAACAATATATGCAGTAAATTCGTTCTAAAATCAGCATGTAAAATTATTTTTTTTTATATCCCCGAGGACTACGAACATTATAAATTTTAACAACCACAAGGGTATTATATTAATTATGAATCAGCAATAGCCGTATTATACTAATATGCTGTAGCATTTCAATGTAAATTCACTAAATTGACTATAAATTTAAATTGTTTAGCAGTAAATTTTATTTCTTTTCCTTTAACTTTTTATAAATTGCCGCTACATTGGAATAACTTTCAAGTTCTTACCGGTCTTTCATATAATACACCAGCAAAATCTAGATATGTCACATATGTCACATGATTTTATAGGAATTTTATATTTTATTTTATTTAAATACATAAAACAAATTACACTTTGAAAGAGATCTGAGTTGGTCAATCTGTAATCGTCCAAACTTTACCGGGAGAAATTCCTCCTCATGATATAATATAGGATGGATTTCTTTCGGTTAAACATAGTTATTGTCTTACATATTTTAATAAAAAAAAAAATATTAAAAAAAAGGTAAATACTGTAAGTATAAAAGGACAATTATTTATTAAAATCAAAGACAATCATGAGTAGTAGTGTTGCTAATTTAAATCATCATACATTTGAGCAATGTTTGCTAATTCAAAATCATTATATGTTTGAGGAATGTTTTCTAATTCAAAATCATTATATGTTTGAGGAATGTTTGCTAATTCAAAATCATTATATGTTTGAGGAATGTTTTCTAATTCAAAATCATTATATGTTTGAGGAATGTTTTCTAATTCAAAATCATTATATGTTTGAGGAATGTTTTCTAATTCAAAATCATTATATGTTTGAGGAATGTTTTTTAATTCAAAATCATTATATGTTTGAGGAATGTTTGCTAATTCAAAATCATTATATGTTTGAGGAATGTTTGCTAATTCAAAATCATTATACGTTTGAGGAATGTTTTCTAATCCAAAATTATTATCTAATTCAAAATTATTATATGTTTGAGGAATGTTTGCTAATTCAAAATCATTATACGTTTGAGGAATGTTTTCTAATTCAAAATTATTATCTAATTCAAAATTATTATCTAATTCAAAATTATTAGAATGTTTGCTAATTCAAAATTATTATTTATTTGAAGAATGTTTGCTAATTCAATTTCCTCATACGCCTGAGGAATGTTTGCTAATTCAAAATTATTATTTGTTTGAGGAATGGTTTCTAATTCAATATCATTATATGTTTGAGGAATGTTTGCTAATTCAAAATTATTATTTGTTTGAGGAATGGTTTCTAATTCAAAATCATTATATGTTTGAAGAATGTTTGCTAATTCAATTTCCTCATACGCCTGAGGAATGTTTGCTAATTCAAAATCATTATATGTTTGAGGAATGTTTGCTAATTCGATTCCTTTATATTCTTGAGGAATGTTTGCTAATTCGGTTCCTTCATACTCTTGAGGAATGTTGATTCCCTCATATATTTGAGGAATGGTTGGTTCGTTTGTATTTCCAAAATTGGGGTTAAAGTTAAGATTAGAGTTAGGATTAGAGTTAGAGTTAGGGTTAGGGTTAGGGTTAGGGTTAGGGTTAGAGCTAGGGTTAGATGTGTTTATTTGACCATCATACTGTTGGTCATATGGCAATGGTATCGGAAGTGTTTCGATTGGGGGAGAATGGGATGATATCAAAGATCCTTTTTTATTTTTATTTTTTCGATCTTTTGGTTGACTTTTCTTCTTTTCAAATTTATAATTATCCCCATAAATTTCTCTGTGCTTTTTTTCGGCAATCCTTTCAAGAGCGCAGAAAAACTTTATCACTTCTTCCGTTTCATTGTTCCAAAGAATTCCTATTTCTTTTGATGTAAGTTTAACTTTTTTATCCACCTTTAGCTTGTTTTTAAATTCAGGGCTGGCTGATTTATTTCTTCTATATAAAATAAATATATTTTGAGGACGTGGGGGTTTTTCAAATTCGGTAATTCCCTTCCTACTTAGTCTTTCGTAACGACGAGTTTTTTTTGAATTAATCAGTAATTTATCAATGTCTAAGTAAAGTAGATGGATCGATTCTTTAATAATATCCTCGTCTGGTTTATTCGGGTCAGGTGGATATTTTTTTTTATTCCTCTTATACGCGGGGGATTTGTTAAGCCTTCGTTTTTGTTTGTATTTACTCATCGTTAAAAATAATATTTTTTTTTTTTTTAATAATAATGGTAAAAATTTTTTTGAAAATAAATCATCAGATGTCGTAGATGTCGTTTAATTATATAGAAAAAAATTGCTTTTGTTTGAATTACTTTTAAGACGCAGCATTGTTATTATTTGAATGTAAACACGCAATTAGTTTTCCGATCAGCGCTTTCAATTATGATGTAATAATATAAATAATATAAATTAACCCCTTTTTCGACGGACCACATGATGGGACTTACATTGATTTTTAACCTTTTCGGGAAGGATCTTTTATTCATTAATTTCTTTTCATCCATTTTCATTTTGAAAAGCGACTTTTGATCAAAAAATTGCTGTGCATTTTTGATTGACACAATTAGATGTCACATGATAAGTCACCAATGAGGAAACGTCACGATAATACTACTATAATTCGATATTGCGATCGATACACACTACACAGCCATTCAGTGGTCAGAATGTCACATGATAATGTCATCATTTTATTTTCATGAATAAGCAATCCAAAAATAAATTTATTGAAATATAACATGCCATCGATGAGAATATTAAGACAGGCCGGGAAGAGCATCTTCGAAAAAAAAAATAGTCAGAAATATTGTGTTAGTAAGGTCCAAACAAAACCATAGATTTCCACGCATAGCAAATTTTTTATTGAGTTCAGGTTGGATCAATTATTGATTATATTGATTATATTGATTATATTGAAAGCATACTATATATGACACTTTTTTCATTTTTCGTCTGATGGTGGTAAATAAAAACAATCATTATTATCATACTTGTTTTTTTGATAAATTGAGTACAAAATAATTGTTATATTTTATACATAGTTCTTTAGTTATTTTGTTTAAATAATTATTGGTTTACAAAGTCAGAAAATTTGTTGTTGAGTTCAATTCCAGGACAGAGAAATTAATTTGATATCTTTATAAGTAGTTACGTTCATAATTTATTTAAGTATTAGATATTTACTGTTTTGATTGATAATATGATGTTTATTATTACTTGATCTATATGGTGCGTTTAATACAATCTTTATGAAGTTTCTCGTATGTTCTTTATCTTTAATTCAACCATTCATTGGAAATTGGACCATATTCACGAATTATTTGAACAATCACTGCATATCTTATATTGCTGCGCAAACTTGTCACGTGAACAAGATATCAGTATTTTATAATTTCAATTTTAAAGTTAACAAGGTTAGTTTGACACATTAAGTATTTTAAAAGATTGTAATATGGGACATGGACCTTACACCTTACAATATTTATACTTACTTTATTATGCAAGCATTTTCTATACCACCATTCTCTTTATCTTCCCGCTACTTAACAAGAGAGATTCCATCATCTAAAATATTGTACCATTATTTATAAAAGATATGATTGGATGAATTTCTATTTAACTTCAAATAAGTATTAGTTGTAAATCATTGTCAATCAAAAATGTCCAAAAAAAAATAAATTTTTTTACAGGTTTAAACTTAAAATATATAATGATAGCATATATTTAATAATTATACGCACATTTTTAGAACCACTTTTTAAGATAAGATACGCGTTTTTAGTTAGATTACTAAACCAAATTCAAATTATTTAATATAATAACACGAATTTGCCACACACGCACTAACCACACAATAATCACTGCCAAGCCATAATCTAAATCTAGTTCAAATGATAATAGTGCAGTAATGGTCCATTGTTTTCTACATAATTCGGAAATAATCGTTTATATATAAATTTATTTCAAAAAATTAAAATTTTTGATTCATCTTTAAAATCTTTTAAAAGATGTTTTAACGATAATTTTCCCAAAAATCACGTGACTTATGATGTAACTTATACAGTATATTGTATAACGTTTCTCAATTAAGCTTAATTAAGTTTAATGACACAATAAGTACGACATTAATAAAGGGTGGCTGGTTGCTTTCTTTGCAAGTTAGTGCAGTGATTGCCAAGAAATACTAAGAGATAAGCGAAATACAAAGAATTAAACAACCGAGTTTAAGGACTTCTTTGAAATACTAATTTGATAAATAATTAATTGTAAGAATAGTGTAAAAGGAAATCAATTTTTTTTTCTATAATATGGTATCAGATTATATATCTGAAAGATTATATTTATGATTGAAAGTTATTAAAGGTGATTGATAGACATGTTTATGAGAAAATTTCATGTGTCAAAATAATTATTTGTTCTATTCTAAACAATTATGTCAATATAACGTAAAAGGACAAAAGTTTTTAACTTATAATAAATACATCATTTTTACGTGGGGATTTTTAAAAACGATCTTCATATTAAATATCACCTTATTTAGTTACCGTAATTGTATGATGTCATGCGTGTTTATCGAAAAAATGTTTATAAAGGCACCGAAAGTTTTCTACTTTTCAAAAAAAAAAAAAAAAAAAAAAGTCACAACTAAAGAAACAAAATTAAAAATTAAAAGAAACAAATTCAATAAACTAAATTCTAAACAAAAATGGCTGTTACTTTCTCTGATATTTTTAAGATCGCTTTCGCTATCATTCTTCCACCTTTGGGCGTCTTATTAGAAAAAGGATGTGGTCCTGACCTCTGTATTAATATACTCTTAACAATTCTTGGTTATATTCCTGGTATGTATTTAATTAATTAGAATTTAATTGTTTTTAGAAAAAAAAAATCAATTATTAATGAAAAAAAAATAATTTTATAGGTATCATTCACGCTCTTTATATCATCTTTAAATACTAATGTGTAAATTAGTATAAAAAATTCACATTGGTATAAAAAATTATTATTAAAATAATTTCTAGAACTATTATATATTAATTCACGCTCAAATTCACACATTTATTTTGTATTTTTTGTATCATTATAATAATATATACATATATTTATTCTCTCTTTTTCATATATTATCTACTTATCATGTAATTTTTTGGTAATTTTGATAATTTTTAAAGAACTTTATTGGATAATATATATAATAAAAAGTAAAAATATTTTATTTGACCAATTAAATTAATCTTATTTGATATTCAATTAATTACACAGTCCATTTTGCCGAATGGACATTTGTAGCGATTAACATTTATGAAAAATATTCATCGCTCAATGAAATAAAAAATTATTTTGGGAGTTTTTTTCCGGGATATTATAAATAATTTTTCGGCGAAATGTTCATTCGCCAAAATATCCATTGGGCGAAATGTCCATTAGTAAAAATAGCTTCGGCGAAATGGAATTCGGCGAACTTTCCCTTCGGGGAAGTACCGATACCATCTATAGTATACTTTAAAAAATATAAACTAAATGTAAGCAAATTAACAAATACTTTATTTTTTTTACCTATAAAAAAAAATGCTAAACTAAAATATGAATTACAACTTCGTTACGAAAATACAAATATTAGAAACATACAGTATGCAAAGGAGTAGCTACAATTATCTATTCTCCTTACATCTACTGTATCTAATTCAGTGTTTACCTTAACATTTAATGCCTATTTACGATATAAGATAATCGTTGATTGATATTTTTATCTACTTCAATTTACTCTTAGTTTTCTTGGAGTCTTGAAACAATCAGAAAAAAATTTGAGTGTAGTGGTGAAGAAATTGAGCATGATGCTGAAGAAAGTCCGCCAAATTCCATCAATTCATTTATTTAGGATTAATGTTCTGAATATTTAAAATTTGTAGGTTGTCCTTTATGATAGTCTGTGAAAATGAAACTCAAATGAATAGAAGATTAAGAGAAGTTTAAGAGAAACAAGATCATAATTCAAAAACAAATTTATCTTACCTTGTGCTGACAAATTGATATCGAAAAATGCAAATTGATCCACCAGCACGCCATAACCTTGCGAATTGGATCCATAACCCGAGATGTATAATGCCAAAGGCTTAAATTTTTTTGCTCTCTGATCGTTGAAATCTATAGCTCATATCAATTCTGAGTACATGTCACGAAGTGTCTTCGGCATTTTAAATTTTTCGAGAAGATACTTCCGATCTGACACTCCTTGGAAGGATCTAGCTCCTTCGATTGATTGCACCAAATTCAAGAAGTCTTTTAACGGAATAAATAATCCCGTCAATCTTGCGACCGGTGAGTTTCCTTGCTTGTGTATTCACTTGCTGCCCACGATTCTTCCGATTAGCACTACTTAATAGTCCTATAAACAGTTATAAACGAATTAAAAAATGGGAAGTTGTCAATAATTTATTGTTTATGGTAGTAGAAAGTAGTTAACTTTTTTAACTATTTAAGCACGCCTTACCCTTCATCAATTCAAAATGAAAAATAAAGTGACATCTTTTCCCACCTCTTGTATCGAACTATACACTTTCAATTTTAATATGTGGTCAATTCTTTTGAGCTCAGATGTAAGATGCTGAAGGGACCGACTATATTGATAGATCAGTATAGCATATTCTTCTTTTCTTGCTTAATATTACGAACAATTCTCTAGAATGAGAATATAGTCTCATCATTTGCTCTATACATTATATCATACTCGTTTGTGTACCTTTTGTTTTTTGTTTATGTATGAAGTTACATACACGTGCAACTGTGAACCAATGTTCTCATACAACTTTACGAGTATTTTCATCCATTCTTTATGTGGTGCTTATGGATGTTGTATTTTCCTATCTTCGTCATTACAGCTGTACGTAAGTTTTCTAGGGAGTTCTTTCCGTATTTTCCCAATTCCTTGACAAAATCGTATGAAATAGATGGTATTCCAATTCGATCTTCTGTTAGCTTTCCACTCTAATTCGGTAAATAACGCTTTGATTGTTTCGTCATCACAATCATCACAATCAACAATGTAGGAATGGCATAACAAATAATAATTCAGTACCATGAATTACAAAATAAAAAGAATTAATTTCGAGAAACTTACTGTTCGTAACCTAAATCTTTTGTGAGTTCAAAGAGAACAACCTCAACAACTTTGCCCGTGCTCAATCGCAACTTCATAAAATCAGGTATAATATCATGTGCTTTTGAAAAGTGGCCTTATCTACTTTTGAGGGGTGTATCTTCCTCGTCTTCATCTCTATCATCTGTATTAGTTATCTTCTTCATCCGTCTCATCATGATCAAGAGACGATTCATTATCAGATGATAAAGTAATAATTTCCCAAAATCTGCTTCTAAATTAGTCTGGTAACATGACTTCTCCCTCTCCTTTGATCAAAAATAATGTTATATTATTTGCCTATTTTCTTCTGGTAAATTTTATTTGAAAAGCAAATTCCATTATTATTATAAACCATTAATGACATAGAATTTTTTGTTCCGCAGTACGGACAAAATACTATTGATCTAAAGTTATTTAAACTAGAACAAAGGTTTAATATTTGTTGTATTTACCTCTGATGCAATTGAGACAATAGGGAGATTCGTTCCGCTTATGCTTTATTTTAAGAATCTACAAAGAGTGAAAGCGGGATGGGAATATATAAATCCCTGAATTTATTTGCTGATGAATAGCAATAACTGAGCAATTCACTTTAATATAAATAATACGGTATATCTCACTTCTCTCGTTGTATATTTTGTCTTCCAAATTCTGTAAAACAGATTTGACGATTTTTTTTTTCGCGAGATTTTTAAAAAACTCGTTAGCCTCGTTACTAAAATCCTATAGAAATAAGGGATGAAATGAAAAGCAATATATTCATAGTTAGATATGTTTTTGCAGATTAAACATTTAAAAAGAATGATTTTTATCTACCGGAGTATGTAGTCTGTGCGGATAGATGACATTCGCATTCTCTAGGTGTCTGGTATATTTATCTCGTACAATTTGGTCTTGTTGTTTGAAAATTGACCGTGTAACGGAAGTAGTATGCTCCCCCTGTAACAATAGAAAAGAATTGAACATAATTATTAAACATCAAAAATATTTAACTGATCAAAATACTCCATACCACTAGAACTACGCGTCTAGCTATAGCCTCCATCCTTTGTTGTTCTACCGACGCGATATTCTCCCAAAACTTGACGATTATCTGTGATTTCTTTTCTTTCGGAAATCGCTACACTGTTGGCGGTGTGTTAAAAAACTCAGCAGAGACCATTCATGGTTAAAAGTGAAATAAGCAGGGTCGTCTACAAGGATTCCTAACGAAAAAGACTTCAGCACTAAAAAAACCATCCCAAACGTGTCGAGAAGGGAGTATAAAATAGCCTTCCATTATTGTGAACGCGTTCTTACTTCCCGGATAAAAAATTACCCGATTTGTTCACTCCGAACACTTAGTGTTGTGACTTGTGACTTGGTCTGTCAAGTCCATTGACTCGTCAAACTAAACTGAACTGAACTGTGACTTATTTGATCATCTTTAATTCCCAATTAGTAATATAATTAAATTATGGCTTACTATAATTATTTTTGTAATGACCAAGAATGAGTGAATGAATTCGGCTTAATATTGTTATACAATTGTGATCGGTGTAGATTATAGCAATTAATCGTGGCGAAGCCAAAAATCATCAAAATTGCGCTGAATCAATTCATCATATAACTTAGCCTACTATAGTATTTATAAGGAGAACAATATATTATTTATATTTCGATTTACGGGAAGATAATGAGGTATGATAATAATCAACTTAGTCAACCTGAGATCATCGAAGAACTTCAGCTGAGCCGATCAAACATCATTCTTCGGATCTAGAAGCAAAACTTGAGTATTAAATTGTAATTCGGGTTTTGAATAATTTTGCTATTTTATCTAAACAATATTTAATGATAATAGTAATACTAATCATATTAATAGATTAAATCGGTTAACGATTTATAAATAGTAAAGTATTAAATTAAATATTTCATTCAAGAAAGGAAACGGGATTTATATTGACATGTGAATAAAGTCAACAAACCGATAATTTAGCCACAAAATTGGGAAATTATTAAAGGTATTGTGCCATGAACGTTTCACAGTATACTTTTTTTTTTTAAAACAATGTTTGTCGTGACATTTTATTTGGCGTTAAAAAAAATATTTTAAAAAAAGAAATTAAAAAAAAGTTCGTGGTCCAATTTAGGTAAAATGTTTGTTAAATTCATAACCCAAGTTAGAAAATAATCTCTCGTCAATTAGTATCATAAATTGTCATAATCTTTTTTTTTTTTTCTCATATGGGATCTTTGGTTTCGATTTTTTTTTTTCTTTTCTCTTTAAACCAAAGTTTTTTTTTTCACTCTTTTTTACCTTTTAAAAAATATTTTAATGGTACAAAAAATTGATTATTATAAAAAAGTATTATATTAGTTCAAAAGATTATTACATTGGTAAATAACACGTGAAATTAATCTTTTGAACGTTTTATTTTTAGTTATAATAGAAGGTTAAGCGTATAATTCAAATATCTTAATATCTTGTAAGAAAATACTTTGAAATATTAAAGATGAGTGATAATCCTATTCCTTGGGTAAGTTGATCATAATGATAATGATCATTCTTTATTACTAGTAACTGATCCTATTAATAATACAGGTTTACGCCAATCAAAAAAATTATACTAATGGTTACGGAAATAATAAATATTCTGGAGGAAATTATAAGAAATCATCAAAACGTTCTAATAATAATAATAATAATAATAATAATAATAATAATAATAATAATCATAATAATAATCATAATAACAGAAAAAGTAACCAAAATCGTTCAAGTTCATATCAACTACCGCCAAAATATATTGAATTTAATCTATTAAATATTTCTATTGATGAATATCGTGAATCGGTCGATTATAATGTTGATGATTACAAATTGAGATTTCGTTATAAATATTTAGAAGAAGGCATATCAATCTTTTTAAATGATAATAAATGTAAAATTTATATTCCTGTTGATAATATTGAAGCAATCTCCAAAATACAATCAAATGCTATTGTTTTAACCTTGAAAAAAGATAAAGATAGAAAAAATTCGGTAAGTCATTCAAGTCAATTTCAAATGTTCTAAAAAAGTGAGAATTATTTAATCATTGATTTTTTTGATGATTAGATTCATTATAATTCAAAGGAAGGTTATAATATAGATGATCCTATCCGTGAAAACTTATGTAAGATAATTATATATATTTGATTCATTTTCTATATATAAGTTTTTTAACTAAAAATTTTCACAGATAAAGCAACATCAATTAGTATGATGGCTCAAGATTCAACTCCTCAACAAGTAATTGATATGACTACTTTACATATTCAGTACCTTATTGAAATAAATAACAGGAACAAACCAAGATTTCCCATTTCCAATTGGGGAAGATTTAACGCATCAATTCCATGTGTTCTAGTAAGTAATTTTATCGTATTTGTTAATCGTATGATGATGTTATTATTAATTATCCTTTTTTTATTACCTTAGATGAAAGAAGATGAAATCCTTTTAAAATGTCACGTCGGCCGAGATATTCGTATATTAAACTTTATTCTACCAATTAGATATGAAGAAATAAAACGAAAAATACAAGAAGCCTTTGGAATTGCCGAAATATCAAAATTAAAATATAAAGATGAAGATGGTGAATTTATTACAATTATTGATAACGTCGATTTTGATACTGCTTCTAAATTATATAAGAGAGAAAATAAACTTGAAATTTGGGTTATTGAATAATAATTAATATTGGAGGAATAGTAATAAATTTTTTTTTTTTTTTTTTAAAAAAACATTTATTATATTTCTTTCTATTTTTTATACATATATTTTATTTTTTTATATTATTACTATTATATTTTACTATACTTAGCTTATGAAGATTTGCAATTTTTTATATTTTATCATACTTATTCTTTTTATATTCTAGATATTGAGAGAGAGAAATTTAACAGAATTTATTGATAATTTTTAATAGCTTTTTTTGGGTAGTTTAAATAAATCATATTATTATACAGAAGTACATTTTTTGTTGTCAGACACTAAATTGATAATTCTGGCCCAAGTTATTAATTCTGCCCAAATTTAAGATTAGAGATGCGTAATTTGGATTAAGCATTAACTATCACATGATTTAAATATTATATCACAAAATTCAACAAGATATACATACACTTTTCACCTCCCGAACGAGATGAAAGTAAATGTGAATTGAGGCCAAATTACAGTATTCCAAGGGTTGATACGGTAGTCCGGCACAGTTCATGTATATGGCATAAAACATTTTGCATCCAATCATCAATTAAAGAAATTAATTACACTTCATCTATCTATTCTTCCCTGCGTTCTGGAAGAATGTTGGAATTAATAAGTCGCATAACTTTCAAAAATTCATTCTCTCTCTTTATTTTTATTTGTCATAAGCTTTCTTATTTATCAATTTAGCTCAAAAGATTTCTTGTTCTAATGGAACGGTCGTGTACTACTGTACAAAATAGGAATTTTTATTAAAGAATTCGAAATACAGTATACAGTATAGTCATTATATTGACAAATAATATTTATAAACGGTATGGTTTATATATTCAGCAGTAAAAATACAAATATCACACTGTTAAGTTATTACAAATTTAACTATATATTAATAAGAATTTTCAACTCAAAGAAACGAAGTAACAAAAATAAGTTGCTTTCTTTAATGAATATTTTTAAGCGTTTCTTCATTATTGTTGTAGTAATACTTTAATTCATTCACATATAATTTTAAAATATTTTCGATATCTTCACCTGCTGGAATTATATCTAAAGCACGTAATTCTCTGAGACGAAATTGTGCAACGTGACTATAATATCCATTGTTTTGTTCAGCAGCTTTAAAATAGAATTTAATGGCCTCTTCAATATTTTCTTCCTTTCTTCCTATTTGTCCTCTTTCATAAGCTTCACCAAGAAATGTTTGACCCATAACTAATCCATTTTCCGCTGCATATTTCAACATTCGAATCCCTTTCATTTTTTCATTTTCATCTATACCATCTTTATTAATTAAGATTCTTCCAAGTTTGGCTTTTGCATATAGATTATTTTTATCAAGTTGTATGGCCTTCTTAAACCATTTTTCTGCTTCCTTTTCATCTTTAATTTCATCATCACTTTCATACAGTAATCCAAGATGGTATGCGGATAGACTATCTCCTAATTCGCAAGATTTTTCATACCATTTTATTGCTATGTTTAATTTTTTTCTAGATAATTTCTTAATATTAAAATCATTTGGTCTGGATAATTTAATAAAATTTTTCCATTCAAAAGGTTTTATAACGTAACTACTATGATATATTATTGCCATGTTTCTCATTGCTATTCTGGCTAGTTCTTTACTTGTTACTTCACTATCTATTGCTTCTTTATTTACAGATAGTTTCTCCGTTGCTTCTTTGTCTGCACCTGAATCATCTGTTGCTTCTTTATAATCATTCGTTACTTTTTTGTCTGCAGTTGCTTCTTCTGTTACATTTTTGTTTGTAGTAGATTCTTTTGTTATGATTTTACCTATAATCATTTCTTTCATTGTAGTCGTTTCCTCTGTTGCTTTCTTTCCTGTAGTCCCATTTTTTTCTGTTGTTTCCTGTTTTACAATTACATCTATTACTTCTTTAAACAATTTTTTAGCTTTTTGTGGATTATAAAATGACTTACTATAACCAATAGAATACAAATACCCTAGACATAGTTTTGCTTCTATAGATCCTAATTTTTCAGCTTCTTGACACCATTTTTCGGCTTCTTTATACCATTCTTCAGATTTTGGGTCCAAATCTGTAGAATTTGAATAATTCTCTTTAATTCCTAACATATAATATCCAAATAATGTCAATTTATGAATAAAACCATCTTCACTTATTACATTTTCTTCTAATTCTTTTAATTTAATATCTTTATATATATCCATATTTCCACTTTTTTTGATTAATACTTTATAAGTTCCAAGTCCTTTCATGAGTGTACCATTTATTAAATGTTTAATGGTATTATCCCGCATCCATTCAGGAAATTCATTAAATTTTATTCCAGTCCATCCTGTACCAGATAAATTTTTTTTACTTTTACCAGTAATAATAAATAATGAAACAATCTTATTATTAAACGGATTAAATGGTGATTCTTTAATTTTAGTTAAAACAAGCCGTTTTGCTTTTTCAGGATTTTCTGATTTTTCTTCGTGTAAATCGATTCTAGCCGTAGATAAAATAATTTTTGGTATGGATAATTCCTTATTACTAGGAATCAAACATTCATAATAACCTAAAAAATTATCCTCTAATCTTTTTTCTTTTTGTTTAGCCATTAAATTCTTAAAATCATTACTAAAACTTGGCGAAACCTTATTTAATTTATTTTTAACTGATGAAACAAATTGTTCTTTTTTTCTTTTTATGGACATACTAATACTAAGTTTAGATACAGAATATGAGAGAGATTTTATTGAAAAATCTACGGTTGAATTAGTTTTTGTTTTAAATGATATGAAAGATTCATTTTCAAGACTTATAGAATCAGGAGATTCAATATCAGAACTTGAAGAAATTTTCGGTTCAATATTTTTATTTTTTGACTTTCTTTTAAACATTTTTGCTAAAGAAAAAAAAAAAAATTTTTTTGGAAAATTTGTTTTCAAACGAATGAATGAAATTCAATTTTTCTTTTAATACAAATTTCCAAATTTAACACTTTATTAACCTTAAAGGGGAGGGATTGCGGAGTTACGGAAATTATAATTCGATTAATTGGTAAAGATCGGTGCTTTTAATGTAACAAAAAAAAAATTTCAGTTTTTAATTCAAGTATTACCGTTTTGCTGCGGTCAAGATAAAGTTATTTTAATTTAACGCGTTATTGTATCTATAATATTTGAGTAACCAATAAATTTAATTATTTATACTGTATATGCTGTTTTATTATATTATCATTAGCATGCGATTAACTTTATTAAATTCTTGAATTTTTATTTATTTATATAAAAGTAATCATTTTTTTAATAAAAAACGAGATCGGCAGTTTTTAAGATTGTCGATAGCAGTCATCAAGTCGAATTTATTTTATTTTATTTATTTATTTATTTATTAAAAAATCCGTAATTATGTTTTAATATGTATAAGTAAATATATTAATGTCTAATGTTTTAAATTTTGCAAAGATAAGCCGCGTAAAAAAAAAATATGGTATTATGTATGATTTAAAAAATCTTATCAAACCGAATTTTTACTTAATTTGTACTGAGCATTTGTTTGTTACTAATTTCTAAAATGGTATTAATGTTCGTATTACTATTTTTTTTTTTTTAAAAAAAAAAAAAATATAATATTTATCTTACAACAATTACACTTGACCCATGTTTAAGACAAAAATTCTATTAAAGCGCATATATTTCAAATTTATCCAAAAATTTACGGTTAAAATGATATTGAATACGATATATACCTCCGATGTTGTATAGAATAGTGTAAAAAACCATACAGTATAGATAAAAGCTATACTGTATAAATAAAAAATTATACTGTATAGATAAAAAATTATCCTGTATAAATAAAAACTATACTGTATAGATTTTCGTCAACTATACTATACATCGGAGGTGTATATCATACTCAATATCGAGAATCAGGAGGTATTCTAGGCGCACAACAAGCTATACATTGACCTCTACAACTTCCTCTGTAATCAATTTCTATTATTTCATTTGATTTAATGAGATAATTAATGTTAACAAATCTGTTAGATTTATTTTTAATAGATAAATAAAATAATTACTATTATATATCGTAGAGCAAACAAAGTTGGACTTGCTAGAGCAATGACAGTAAAAGTGGTTAAAATGTTGATTTTCATCTTGTTGATTGTTTTCATCTGTTTTGTTGATTTTTTACTTCTTTTTTTTTTTGTAAAAAAAATCTTCGAAGTTAAGAACTTATTTATACATGTAAAAGTCAGTATAAAAGTTATGTCATAATGAATTGCTTAGCGAGACGAATGTTTAGATTATTAGAATGCTTAGTGAAGGCTTAGACTATAAGTTTAAATGCTTCAAAAAATAAATCTCTTCTAAAAAGAATATACTTAAGTCGACAGAATTAATGGCCTAAAGATCGAATGATTACGTTAATAATAAAAACTAAAGCACATCTTTAAAATTTGTATTGCGACTTAGCCGACCAATTTAGCAAAGACATACCCTCATATATATAGAGATTCTATACATAAATATTAAACAAAAAAGGTTTCATCCATTGGTAACAAATAGCATTCGAACAGAATTCTACAAGTTTATATTTTCTGGTTTTTATTTCAAAAAAAAACTCAGAAACCAACTTGATAATGCGTAGCAGTTTGTAACATGTATTATGTATATTTCTATCAAAGATACAATATACAGTAACTCGATTTATAAAAAGGTTAAAAGATTTTTTGGGAGAATTTAACAACACGTGATTCTTTCCTCCTAACCTTTAACACTAATAATTACATCATCTACTGATCTACACAATCCAAGTAATTAGCCAACAATGTGTGGCTATCCTAATTCGATATTTTTAGTAAAATTTATCCTTTATGCTGGTTTTGCAATATCACATGAATACCGACAACTGTTTATATTAAGGCAATGTCGTAATTAGTACTGCAACCAACTGTATATTAGTTTCGGCGTTAGATTGTAGACTTGTAGTACAATTTTTCAAATTAATTTTGGTTTAGTTTTTAAATTTATGCTCCGAAGACTAGAAAAATACTTTTTTGATCCGTTAAAAGAATTCGCGAAAAATTCATTATAGATTATTTGTATATTAAACAAACAAAACAAACATTCATTCAATTACTACATATTATCAATCTAATCTAATCTGTAATCTGTCCCCAAAAGTTGTACACCCATACTCTTTTAATATTACAGTACAATATTAAACTTATTTTAACACTAAAACAGTAGTGTCACGACATTTGAAAGCAAATTTGGATATAAAAAGATAATCTAAGCGGAACATAATATATTGTTTGTGTATGGCCCGTGCATCTTTTTTTTCTTTTTGACTCGTTTTTGGCAAAAATTGAATGCTAGTATCCAAAATAAATCCAAATTAATTGTTGTGAAGTTTATTAAACTCCGACAACATGCAGTGGATTTGAAGCTAGACTTAAATTGGTAATCTCACAGCGCACTAAGATTTTACATCTTCTAACCTCAATCATTACTCAAAAAAAAAAAAAAAAACTTTATTAAATTACTAAAACATACATTCTCTTTCATTAAATTCTAAATTGACGTTTATTCATTTATTAAAGTCATTATGATTATCAAAATCTTCCAAAATCTTTATAATGTTTTCTATCTTTTTTTTTTACAAGCAAAATAAATATAAATTCAGGATGTTTCAGTTCTTTTCCAGAAGATTATCTCTCCATTTTTCAATTGAGTGAATAAAGTTATTCGTGGCACAGTGTAAATGGTGCAAAATTTCCTTTTTTTATAAAAAACAAAAATATTTTTAAATTATTATGGATGGTAATAATATAGAACAATATCACTATATAGCGGTAAGCCCATCTGGTGGAGAGATCGCAACACTCGATCGTAATGCCCACAAATTAGTAATTTGGCATGTTACCGAAGGAAATGCAATAGAACACAGATCTACATATCCGTTACGACATAATATTACGGAAAATAGTATCAATTGGTCTTTAGCTATTTCGGATGAAGATTCTGATGGAAATACATTGATTGCGCTTTCTTGTTTTAATTTCAATAATTTGGAAGATGATGAAAATGAAAATTCTTCACCATTAACGCCATTAACGGAGGTCATTGCAGCTTCTGAAAATGATATTTCGCAAGTAAATCCGTTCTCTTCTAGTTCAACTGAACGATTAGTAAATAATGAAGCTTCAACTAGCGATAACGCGAATTATGAAGGTATTATAAATTATTTGAGTTCCATCGAACTACGTACTACTCGAATAGTATCAATTTCATCAGGATTAAAAAAATGGCCTGAGATCGAAGGTTTTTACGGATTTTTACAATTCTTTAAAGGAAGTACGTTGCTTACTATATCAAATAATTTTGGAATTATAAGAATATGCAAAGATGATTCAAAAGATTTATCAAGTGGATCTAAATACATTCATAATCTTTTAACCAGACAAACTAGATCAAGAACTATTGATTACCACAATAGATCAGATGATTACGAAAAGAAAAGTTATGAAATAATCGGATATCCTAATAATTTTGTTGAAAATCTTGAAATTATGTATGAAGAGGAACAAATAAATTTCATTAAAAATTCTATTATGTGTGGAAAATTGATCATTCAAAACGAAGAAAATAATTTAGAAATGTATAATTTATTAAGCAAAAATATGGAAATGTTATATTATCATTCCAAATTTCAAACAGAATTAACAAATAATATTTTAGCTATTTCAAAGAATGCAAAATTATTAGCGGTTACGATCAATAAAAATTCAGTGGCATTGTATTTAAATGAAAATAGTTTAAATATTGCATGTAAGGAATTTTCAATGATTGATGGAAAAATAATTTATATGACATTCTTTAACGATGATGAGAAATTGTTATTATTAGAGAAAGATGAGACTAAAAATAATTTAATCATTTGGAATATTTTTGAAGATACTGAGAAAATATATTCATTTGATAATCAAAGATTTCAAATTTTGGATTTATTTGGTACTATAGCATATATTGATAATTCTCGAGATATAAATGATAATCAATTTATTAAATTATTTGATGAAGAAAATCCAAATGAATTTGAAATAAGAAATAATGACGAAATATTAATGATTAATTTATTTGAAGTACTTGAATCATTAGAATTATCAGAAATATATAATACTAGAGGTTATGACCAACATGAAAGAAGAAAGAAGGATACTGAACCATGGCTTGATTCAGATCATTATCAAACATTCCGTTGGCTTGATAATAACGAAACAACAAGAATTTCATATGGATTTTATACGATTCAAATTTGGAAAAATAACGAATTAATTTATATTTATTCCGCTAATTATAATAATGTGCAAGAAAGTAGTGAACCATTGAATGACAACAATGTTAATGAATTTGTCAATGGATGCTTTACAACAGAACACGTAAATGATGCATATAATAGTTTGATCTTTTTTTGTAATTTGAAGTTATCAACAATAAAAATTAAAAAACTTAAAGTTGATGAATTCATTGAAAAAACAAAAAGAATTATTCATAATGTTATTAATAATAATCCAAGTCTTTGGAGGTTATTAGATGTCAAATATAATTTAACGGAAAATCTTATTCGTAGTCAATCGAATGATATTATTGAACTAATTCTTAATTCAACTGAGGAAAATACTAAATTACATATTCCTCAACTTTATGATTGGAATGGACGTAAAAAAACGAGACATGAACTATTAATTGCTTTGGAAAATAATAATATTAGAATTATTCAACGACTATTAGATTATTATTCTAATAATGCGATGGACAATGCAGGATGGATGATTACTTTAACTCAAGCATTACCCAAAATAAGCGAAAAATTCCCTGAACTTATAAAAGAATTGTTTAATAATCCAGTATTTTATGAGAAGAAAATGCATTTAGCAAAATCTAGGATTAAAACAATCTTATCGTCAAATCCTTACTCTACATTTATTGTAGATACAAGATTACCTACGAAATATAAACTTAGAGATAAAATTCCGAGAGATTTAAATGATAATCCAATTGAGATTGAAATATATATGATACCTTTACCGGATTTTAATGAATTCCTAGAAGGACGTAAACAAACCATTAATTGTCCTTTTTTCAAGTTGGTGGCACAAAAAAATTTAGATCTATTTTATAAGAAAAATTCTACTCTTGAAGCCACCGTAAGGTTTAATTGGAAAGTTCATGTTTTCCAATTTATGATAAGATTACTATTTTATATTGTTGATTTTATTATTTTTAATGCGCGTTTAATTTTTATTTCTTATTTTATTGAAAAGAGAGCCGAATTAAAAGTAATTCTATTAAACATATTTCATCTTTTATTTCATTGTATTAAGTCTTATTTCAAGATGGTTGATTTACATATTTTAAAAGATGTCAAACCAACAAAGTATCAACTCTTTTATGGACTTTCCAATATTTTACAATTATTAACCCTATTTCTATTCGCTTTTACCAATTTTTATAATCTGAATGATTCAATACTCTTAGGAGTATCATTAAATTTTATTTCAATTACGATATTAATTGTGTGGATAGAATTGGTAAGAATTTAAAATTTCAAAATTAATGTATGATAATTATAACCATTATTAATTTATTATTTTTTCATAATTAAGTTTTTATTTTTCAGATTTAATTCCGGCAATTATTAATTTTATTATATATATTTTATTTTATGAAAAAATTCATTAACATAATTCTTATTACTATTCATTTTAGTTGTTGGGAAATATATTATAATTATCGCTTATCTGGTTTCAACAATTATTCCTTATTTTCTTACATTGATGATAATGATTGTTGGGTTTAGTTTCTCCTTGTAAGATTTATATTTACAATTTGTTATTTAATTTTAGAATATTATATTATATAATAATATATATTAATGTCCTAAATTTCTTTTAGTTTTGTTATTTTTACTAGCGCGAAAGAATTAGGAATTGGACCCGAAGGAGAGAAATTTATTTTTGTTGAAACTGGTTCCGGTACAAGAAATTATTCGTATGCATATATAGAAAAAGAAACAAATACACCTAATTTTCTTGAAACTTTGGAAATGGTTTATCTTTGGTTATTTGGAAGCTGGGCGAATGTACAAGATTGGAATTATATTAGTGTTAAAATATTGGCTATAGTTGCAAGTTTCTTTTTAATTTTGATCATGACAAATATTTTTGTGGCATTGATGACGTAAGCAATTTTTATAACAATTATGTCAATATATATCAGATATATAATTTAAAAATTAACATGAATTTATTATTGGTTTTTTTTTAGGGATGATATTAATAGGGCAATAAAATACAGTGAAATAACATCTTTTAAATATAAGGCTGATTTCATTCTAGAATCTTATCTTTACCCTTTATTTGTAATAATTGAGAAATTTTACTCTAAAAGAAAAAAAGAATTTACTTTTGAACATACTTTTTATTATCAACCAACTTTTCATTTATTACTTGATAGATACATTTTTTATATTAGAACTGATAGAAAAAGTTGGAAAACGGAAATTTCTAAAGGTACAGATGAATTAATTGAAAATATAAATGAAAAAGTTAGAAAATTAGATGAAAAACTTGATAGATATATATGTAATTCATAAATCTGTTGTATTTTTCTCCTTGTAATGAATCAACATATACTTATTTGAAATATAATAAATAAACAATATTTAATAATTTATGAATTATATCTTAATTTTTCATACATGGAAATCTGGTGACCGTAAAGGTTATGTCAAATGACTTCTTGTGAACATCTGAAATATCATTGAATCGAAGGTGTTACTTTTCAACGCCTGCGGCCTGCCACAGATAATTGTGAATACAGAAATCAATATAGCGAGGTTGCTGTTTTGGATCTCAAATTCGTTGGCACATTACACCAATTCGGCATTACACAGATTTATCATATGTTAATACGAATGTTTGAACACTATTTCACTATTACGCCTCCTTAAATATCCCTACACTTGAGCTTGATTTTGAATAAAAATAAACATAAACATTAAATGTGTATATATATTAATTTAAAAATGTTTTTATATTATAAGATCACATTACATTCCATATTTCTATATATCATAACAGGAAATAGTGATGGTTTCTATATAACATCACCCTTCATCACGCCTGGCAACGTCTCATCTTTACTAGATGTTTTAGTGACTCAATTTTTTATGGTGAATTTTGGCCAGGAAAATTCATAATATATCAAATAACTATAAATTAAACTAATTAAATTAAATAAACTTTACTATTGCATACCATAATATACTAAAGAGTAATAAGTAATGCCTTAGGACCTTTGATCAACAAACGTCTCATTAGAATAACCCTTGAATTTCTTCAAGAGATAACCCAGCAGTCTCAGGTACCATGAAATAAATAAAAAACCAACTAAAAATCATAAATATAGCGTATAACCAAAATGTTCCCGTTGTAGTTATTATTTCGGTCAACGGAAGGAAAGATACTGTAATTAATAAATTAAATAACCAATTCGTTGCTACAGGAATTTAAAATAATTTATTTTAATAAATATTTAATGTGGGGCAATATATATATATACTCGGGTAAACATACCTGTTCCTATTCCTGATGCTCTACCGCGTACATTTAATGGGAATATTTCACTCTGTATTAACCAAGGCGCATGCCCTAATCCCAAAGCATAAGCTAAATTCAAAATAGAACCGTTTAGTTTCACTCTCAAACGTTTTACAAACAATCACTTAAAATTACTAAATTATGCACTCACCCATGACATAAATGATCAGACTAACTAAAGTAAACCAAGTATAAATGGGCTTCAAAGATGGACAATTCTCATAAAATTCTTCATCGGTAGAATTATCATTCTCTTGTTTATTTCCATTTAGTGGTGAAAAGAAATTAATTTTACCAATGCTAGTTGCTGTATTTTTAGTGTTTCTGGGTAAACAAGTCCCGCCATCACGTTTAGAAAATCCACACCTATCATCTAATAAGCAAGCACCACATTTGTCTCCATAATCTATGCAATTTGGTTGTTTGGGTGTGAATCCTGTTGTGAAATAAAATCCTAAACCTAATAAAAGTAATCCCAATATTGTAGCTATTACTGTATATATAAGTATTTTACGTCGACCCACTCCGTCGATTATATATAATGCAACTCCTAAAGTGTTAATGAGAGAAAATCAAGAAAGTCAAGGAGAAATTAATTTATTAAAAAAGAGGTTACAAAATAACGTAATTATGTATTACCTGTCATAAGGAAATTAGTCAGGGAAACCACAAGTGAAAAGACAATAGCATCTCTAATATTAACGAATCCGGCCATTTTCATTATGGTTCCCTAAATTATAAAGTAAAATCAGTATACTTCTCTCATTAAATATTTAAAACTTGTTATCAAAACTTACACCATAATACATTGCAGTATCAAATCCAGAAACTTGTTGAATAGTTTGTAGTCCACATGCAATTATGAGTGGTTTTAAATTTGGATAATGAAATAATTGTTTATATGATCCTGCCTCATCTACCGCTATTGTCTCATAAATTATATTAATTTCTATGATATAACAGAGAGAATTAAGATTTAATTAGAAAAAAAAACACCACTCCATTCCTACCTAGCAATTAAAAATAGGCACTTTTTATGTATGAATTACCTTTATCTATAAAATCATGTGAAGAGTCTGGATATATTTTTTTTAAAACACTTTTCGCTTCTTCATTTTTCCCTTTTTTAATAAGGAATCTAGGACTTTCAGGTACAATTGGCATAACTACAATATGTAATAACGAATTCGGGCAAAGTTAGAATGTTTTTATATTCTATTAAATTCTAAAAAAAAATACTTACTGAATAATTGAATTAAAGGAGGAATTCCAGAGATACCAAACATCCATCTCCACCCTCCAAACTCTACAAAAACAATTCCTATGAGATAAGCGATAACTTGCCCACCAGTAATGAATAATACATTCAATGTTACCAATCTTCCCCTATATTTTCTTGGGGAAATTTCACTGATATAAATGGGAACTACCATCGAAGCTAATCCTACTCCTACGCCAATTATCAACCTTCCAGTAACTAATAACGAATACGTATTTGCTATTGATAATATTATTGCACCACCTAAAAATATTAATGCTGAAAATATTGACGTTATCCATCTTCCGACCCAGTCCGATAAATATCCTAGTAAATCAATTGGAGTAAATTTTTGAATTTGATAATTAAAATTCAATCAATAATTAATTTACCAGCTACAGCTCCGCCAAATACAGCTCCTAACGTTGTGGCTGTCAATTTATTTAAAAATTAATTAATATTGCATGTAAAAAATTTATTGATATATCAATATTTGGTTAATTAAAACACGTTACTTACCGCCAACTACTATTCCCTTTTGTAATGCAGTCATGGTAAAATCTTGTTCAAGCAGTAACATAGCACTACTTATAACTCCAGTATCATATCTAAAAAAGAAGTAGTAATTTAGTTGATCTCATTAAACATTAATATCACTCCCTTAAAAGAAGAAAAATTTAACTACCCAAACAAGAATCCACCTATAGCAACGACTACAGCAATGAAATAAACGTATAAAGCAACACCTGCTGTATCTCTATCTTTTGATATTTGTTCGGTATGTTCAAAATCTCGTGAAGAAATTTGTCTTGGAGAGGAAGCATTGCTTGATTGTTCTAATTCTTCCTCTTCTTCCATAAGCGGCTGATAAGAGGTATCCAGCTAAAAAAAAAAATTTAAATTCAACATCAATTACTAAAATTACCAAATTATCACAAATAGAGTTTGTGTTGGATTTAATTTTTTCTTTAAGATAAGAGAAAGAATTTACGTACATACGTTTAAATTCAGTTTACTCATTTTTTATAAGTTATAGCTTATGACAAAAATAGCTGGGGCTTAGATTATGGCTTTCAATAAAATATGAATTCGAATCTGTTAGCTTTTTTAATTTGAAGAATTTTTTTTTGTGATAAATGATCGTTTTCATCAAATATATAATAATATATTTTGAAAATAATTGAAGAATTAAAGAATTATATTATTAAAGAAATAAACTTGAAGAAAAAACCCTTTCTGAATTAGATAAATTATTTTTTAGATAGATGATTGATAAATGAGTCCTATCTCACATGATCTTTCCGAAAAGGGAGTGTACTTTTTCAGTTAATACATGGCTATGGCCTATGGGTAACTAGTAACTAGTCCTAATGTGGTATGTTGTTATGCTGAAATATTTGGGTAGAATTAGTATTGACCAGATAATTCTGGTAAAATTTTCCGAACATCTTGTCATCGAAAACACACATGTGCTATGTTTGTAAGATGACATATCTAATATCTGATATGGTTATTTAATTTTGATCTACCAATTCATCATCAAGTGATTGAATATAATACAATAAGAAACGTCAAATAATGAATTGATAGCAATTTCTTAAGGGTAAGGTCCCGTAGGGGATGAATTTCCAAATTCTATACACGTATATTTGTTGTCAAACATGTAAATGTTGTCTTACTTTTATTTGTAATAGTTTTGGTTATACTACTCTTCTAGTAATAAAACAAATAATAAATAATAGCAATTTCTTAATATAAATGTTCATCTATTAATGCTAGAGACAAATTTATTACTATTCAATACGTCTTATTATGTTACTATGCTGAATTCAATGAGTTGTTACATCTTTCTATGATTACTAATGTGCTAATATTCTTGACATATTCCCAGTAAAATATATAATTGTTCATCCCTTGTAATATTCATTAATACTCGGCGAATTTTTTCAATAGATAAATATCAGCTGCGGAATTATTACGAAAAGTGATCATGTGAACATATAAACTATAAATGTTATTTGTTCGCTAGCAGTGGGTTTCTACGATTTCTATAATCTATTTCCAACTTCTTTTGTAATTCTTATTATTTCATAACAAATCACCTGATCACACTAATTCGAAAACCACAATAATTAATTAATTCCGAAATTTACACAAATAGTACCAGTACCCAGATATTGTAGGATATTGTAGGATAATTTTGGCCGCAATCTATTCCTATTTATAATAAGCGCAGTTAAAAATAGCTTTCGTATTTGACCAAAATTAATTAGTCACAAGGTACAAGATTCCAAATCAAGTTAATTTTTAAAAAGTATTTGGGCGTCATGACGTTCATCTCGTGATCTATATACTAACTAATTTACCATAAACAATAAATAGACTTAAATTAATTTCCTAAAATATTAAATTAAATATAAACACCGTTTTTTTTTTTTAAAAAAAAAAAAAAAAAAATTCCGGTCCTTTTACTTTTCTTAATAATTTTGAGGCGCAGTATTATATAGTATATGGCTTCAACAAGTGGTAACAACGTAAAACAACGCTATAATATAGCTATAAGTCCATTCGGTAAAGAGATCGTAATTTTCGATTATGTTTCACATATTTTAAAAACCTGGCGGTTTACTCAAGATATGATAGCGATTCCCACTAATTTTGAATGTGAATTACGAGAAGATATTGGAATTAAAACAGAAGAGATCAATTGGTCTTTAGCTATTTCGGATGCAGATTCTGATGGAAATACATTGATTGCACTTTCTTGTTTTAAGTTTATTAGAACGAATAATGATAGTTCCAAAGAAATTGATATAATAACCAATAATAAAAATGAAAATGAAATAAATGAAATTAATATGCAACAAAAGTCAACTAAGTATGATTCAAAATATTCTAATGAGAAAACTGCTCTTAATGACGAAATTTCTGATGAGAATAATATAAATAATATAGCCATGAAAATATTAAATTCGATTCAAATAAATTCTACTCGAATCGTATCAACATCAGGGAATAAAGTATGGCACAAGATCAAAAATTTTTATGGATTTTTACAATTTTTTCAAGGAAACATGATATTAATTTCAAATCATTTAGGAATTGTAAGAGGGTTATGTATTGATAATAAGTCAGATATTGATGATTTAACAAATCTTTATAATAATAATTACACTTCATCAAAAAGAAGATTAAAATTAAAAAATGTGAATGTTTATGAAAAATATTGGAAACCAATATATATAATAGAGAAACCATCTTATATGGATAATGATAAGAGGAAATCAAAATCAAAATATGCTAGATATTATGAAATATGTTTTGATAGAAAAATTGATAAACCTCTTTTTATATATCAAGATTTATATTATCCTAGAACATTTAATAAACAATTTAAAAAGCATATAATTAATTATCATGAACAATCAGAATCTTATGATAAAGAAGAGAAGAAATTTTATGAAATATTTGGATATCCTAGCGATTTTATTAAAAATCTTGAAATTTTGAATGAAGAGGAACAATTAAATTTCATTAAAAATTGTGTTATTTGCGGAAAATTAATTATTCTTAACGAGGAAAATAATATTGAAATGTATAATTTATTAAGTAAGAATATTGATATGTTATATCATCATTCCGATTTTCAAACAAAATTAACAAATAATATTTTTGCAATTTCAAAGAATGCAAAATTATTGGCAGTTACGATTAGTAACGATTCAATAGCATTATATTTGAATGAAAATAGTTTGAATATTGCGAATAAAAAATTTACTAGTAATTCAATAATTAGTAGAAAAATAATCTATATGACATTCTTTAATGATGATAATAAATTGTTATTATTGTTAAAGAAGGAGGATAAAGAGGATAAGATCTTAATCATTTGGAATATTTTTGAAGATTCTGAAAAAATATATTCAATCGATGAAAAAGTTCAAATAATGGATTTATTTGGTATTATAGCTTTTATTAATAACTCTGGTAATATTCAATTACTTGATGAAAAGAATCTAAGAGAATTTGAAATAAAAAATAATGACGAAACTCGACAAGAATTATTAAAATTATCGGAAAGTATTACTAGAAATTATAATAAACGTGAAAAAAGAATAATGGATAATAATATTTTTGATATTGAACCATGGCTTGATTCAGATCATTATCAGATATCTTATTGGCTTGATTATAGTAAAACATTAAGAATTTCATATGGATTTTATACGATTCAAATTTGGGAAAATGATGAATTAATTTATATTTGGTCCGATTACAATATTGATAATTATAATTTATCTAACAAAATATTAACACAATATATTGAATTATTGGATATATCACAAGATGATAATGGGAATATTACTTCAAAATTCAGATGTATTGATGTTGAACATGAATTACAAATTAGTAAACTTGTCAATAACGAATTTTTAACAAAAGATCACGCAATTGGTGCCTATAATAGTTTGATCTTTTTTTCCAAGTTAAAGTTAACAAATATATCATATAAACTTAAAATCGATGAATTAATTGAACAAACGAAAAGAATTATTTATAATATTATTATTAAGAAACCAAATCTTTGGAGGTTATTAGACGTTAGATATAATTTAATGGAAAATCTAATTTACAACCAATCAAATGATATTATTAAATTCATTCTTAATTCAACAGAAGAAACTAAAAAGAATGCTAAACGTAATCAGAAATTACATATTCCGCAACTTTATGATTGGAATGGGAATATAAGATCGAATCATGAATTATTAATTGCATTAAAAGAAAATAATATTGAAGTTATTCAACAAATTACAAATTATTATTCATGTAATGCTATAGAAAATACAGGATGGATGATTACTTTAACTCGAGCATTACCAGAACTAAATAAAAAACTTCCTGAATATGTAATTAAATTATTTAAAAAACCAGTGTTTTCTCAAAAACAAATGCATCTGAAAAAATCCAGAATTAAATCAATCTTGGCAACAAACCCATCTTATAATATATTTATTGTGGACACACGATTACCTTCATTAACGAAAAAAGAATATCAAAATCAATCCTTTTCTCTCAGAGATTCAGAACATTCTAATGATTATTTAAATGATAATATTAAAATACGTATGATACCTTTACCAGATTTTAACAAATTTGCAGAAATAAGTGGAATTAAGCAAATTGGTTGTAGTCCTTTTTTTGATTTGATGTCAGAAAGGCATTCAAATTTAATTTATAACAATTCCACAATCGAAACTATTATAAATTTTTATTGGAATACTCATATTTTTAGAATAACTTTACCTAAATTAATATTATATGTCATATATTTTATTGGTATTAATGTACATTTGTTACTTTTTTCTTTTTATCCTATATACAGAAACATTTCTAAACATTCTAATATTGGTGGTACCCTTGCATCTTTACAAAGTTTAAAATTTTTTAATTTTATGGGCTCAGAGACTAAACGAACATTTTATTACTATATTTTTCATTCGTTCAGTTATGCTTTGCTAATAATAACATTATATTTATTTGATGAGTTTAGTGATTTAAACATAGTCGTGATTTTGGTTACATTTACAATGTTAATTTTATGGGTAGAATTTGTAAGTATATTTTCTTAATATAATTTGTTATATTTTTTGTATCATAACTAATAATATTTTTGATATAGTTTTTGTTCTTAAGAATAATTCCAGGTAAAAATTAAATTAGATCTCTCCAAGCCAATTCTTTGTTTAACATATCGTAATTTTTATTTATAATTCTGGCCAAAATTTATAATTCTGGCCTAAATTATATATATAATTTTCCTGAACTAAGCAAGGATGAGTAAACGAAGAATTGAGTTGGAGTGGCCTTATTATCCTTATTATTATAACAAAAAAAATTTTATTTATTTATTTTTACTAATATATTTATTATATTATATTATATATATTAAAGTTGTTGGCGAATATATTTTTATTATAACCTTCTTGATATCAAAGGTTATTCCATATTTTCTTACAATGATGATAATGGTTTTTGGTTTTGGCTTCTCAATGTAAGAATATTATTATATAATTATATATATATTTATTTATTTATGTGTTATTGTGTTGTTATTTATACTAAATAAATACTTTATTAATTATTTAGGTTTATAATATTTAGTAATGCTGCAATATTAGGGATTAAACCACAAAGTGATGAATATCAATTCTCAAATATAACAATACAACAAAAAATTGATTCCCCTAATTTTTTTGAAACATTGGAAATGGTTTATCTTTGGTTATTTGGAAATTGGGATGATGTTAAGAATTGGGATTATATTCCTATTAAAATATTAGCTCTATTAGCAAGTTTTTTTATTGTTATTATTATGCAAAATATATTTGTGGCATTAATGGCGTATGTACTTTATTGAATTATTATTTTATATGTGTTTTGAATTATCAATTATTAACATAACATTTTTTTTTTTAATAGTGAAGATATTTCTACAGCGAGGAATTATAGTGTAATAGCATCTCTTAAATCAAAAACTGATTACATTATACAAGCTCAATATCAAAATTATTATTATCTTCGTAATTTTGGATCGTATTTCTATTTAAGTACAGAATCTTCTTTTAATTTTAGGTTTTATCATTTAACAACTTTTAATTCAACTTATAATAGACACATTTTTTATACTGTAAATAGAGATAATATAAAAAATTGGATAACAATCGATGATGATACTACTTCAAATGATTCGGAATTTTCTGGAAATATTAATGAATTAATTGAGAAAATATCTGATAGGCAATTATTTCTTGAAAATGAGGTTCATAAATTAAATGAAAAATTTGATAAATTATTAGTGTTATTAAGTAAGAAACAATAGGAACTTTTATCTAGTAGTTCTTTCTTTATATATATATATATATTTATTTATATATAATGATAATGTATTTAAAGTATTAGTTTACTTTTCCCTTTGCGCAACCTATTTTATATATAAAATAAAATACATTCAATCACATGCGCGGAAATTTAAAACGATGTACGCTGCGCCTCGAATTTTACTCAGCTTACTCAGCTGAAAATTTATAAATCTGACTAATGAGTCACGATAAAAATGAGATTATCATACGTCATTATCTGGATTTATTATTATTACGTAATTAACTTAGTACGCGTTTCACGCGAAATTGATCTATTTAGATTCAATTAATATAAATACTCTCTTCAATTTCATCTTTCATTCTCACAAAATTAAAAATTCTGCTAGCAAGATATAAAAATATAAAGGAACGTATTTTTTTGGTGTATAGTATGATCTTTCGGTATGTTTGATCTTTGGCAATATACAGTATATAAAGGAACGTACTTTTTTGGTGTACAGTATGTTTGTCAGTGAACACAACTTGAAAGTAGTTAGCTTTTGGGGAAAGCTTATGGACAAACTCAAAATGTAAGTCCTTCACGTTCTATACCATGTCTGGCGAAACTAGGCCTTCAACACTCAACCTAGTATAGTTTCTGGTTTAACCTACTTCGTTCCTTGCTGAAATCAGTTCTGGTAACGTATCAACTAGGCAATCTTAGAAATATCAGTTAATGACTTCCTAGCATTCGTCTATTTCGTGTCTTACTACACCGGTCCTAGCAACGCTCGCAATTAGTCAATCCTAGCAACATCAACTGATGACTTTGCTAGTATTCGCTTACTTCGTTCCTTGCTAACACCTGTTGGTAACGCTCGTACCAGACAATCTTGGTAACATTAGTTAATGTTTTCTTAATATTGTCCTACTTCATACTAACTGCAACTGCATCTTTGGCAATGGTAACAACTAGGATAAAATAGATTCTAAAAATGGTCTGAATGTTATCCTTTTTCGTGGATGTGAAGCTTTTTTTTTAACTAAATCATCCTTAGTTGGTAAAGACGCTTTTCATCCTTCCAAGACTCATGAAACTGAAACTGGTCGGCATGTCACATGTATTATTAACATGTTTTTTTATTCCATTAAAAGGGTGAAGTTAAAGATTATAGATGATTCTGAAAAGATTCTTAAATTTTTTAATAAAGTTACGTGAAAGTAGTTAGCTTTTGGGGACAAAAACCGAAACTCAAAATGTAAGTCCTTCACGTTCTATCTATACCATGTCTGGCGAAATTAGGTCTTCAACACTCAACCTATATATAGTTTCTGGTTTAACCTACTTCGTTCCTTGCTGAAATCAGTTCTGGTGACGTATCAACTAGGCAATCTTAGAAATATCAGTTAATGACTTCCTAGCATTCGTCTATTTCGTGTCTTACTACACCGGTCCTAGCAACGCTCGCAATTAGTCAATCCTAGCAACATCAACTGATGACTTTGCTAGTATTCGCTTACTCCGTTCCTTGCTAACACCTGTTGGTAACGCTCGTACCAGACAATCTTAGTAACATTAGTTGATGTTTTCTTAATATTGTCCTACTTCATACTAACTGCAACTGCATTTTTGGCAATAACAACTAGGATAAAATAGATTCTAAAAATGGTCTGAATGTTATCCTTTTTCGTGGATGTGAAGCTTTTTTTTTTAACTAAAAAATGATTATCATCCTTAGTTGCTAAAGACGCTTTTCATCCTTCCAAGACATGAAACTGAAACTGGTCGGCATGTCACATGTATTATTAACATGTTTTTTGTTCATAAAAAGGGTGAAGCTAAAGATTATAGATGATTCTGAAAAAATTCCTAAATTTTTTAATAAAGATTTTTGGCATATTCCAAAGAAAAGAAAAGAAGAGAGAAGCAATGATGAATTCAAGTAGTAGAAAGAAGATTGGTGCAGTGGAACCAATTTACCAATTTGGTAAGGAGAGAGAATTCTTACTTTTCAGGAATGTAAATAAATATTTCATGGACTAGCAGTATTTTATTAAGGAAATTTCTTGGTCCTATGGAATATACTGTGATACGCTATACAGTTATTTATTTAATTCTATTATTACATATTTAAATTACATATATTTAAACTGACCAATTTTTTATTTAAATATACAGTAAATAATTGATCATAACAAAATTTTTAATTTTAGACGGATATGGGCCAAATTTAATAAAGCCTAATATTTCTGATTAATGAAAGCCACAGGTGATACTCGAAACTCGATAATTGGAGGGTGGGTATTTTTATGTTTAGTTCAGTTGATGGTGGATAGTCTGCTCTCGTTCCGTTCCGTTACGATACACTATATTCTTAATTGGGATTTTGGTAGTAATTTGAATCTATTGTCGTTCCCTGATATTAGGTGAGTTATTGTGTTCAATTGAGCTTTAATTGCAGTGAAGGCTTTTTTACGATTTAGTTAACATATTAGTACATCCTTGAGTCACCTAGTGTTTAATATCGAAAATGTTGAAAAAATTTATTGCTGTAAATAATTACATTAGAAATTAGAAGACGCAGCTTACCATTAATATACATATTTCGGATAACTTAAATATGGGAAATAATCATCTGTATTATCCTTCCATTGTGCCTAAATTCTGAATAGTCAAAACGAAAATGATTTTAATGCATGCAACATAAGATTTGTTACACTACAGATTGTCATTTTTAATTCCGACAGATTTATTATTTTGACAAATTCGACATCATTACCTAAAATCGCGCAATTTTTAGATGTTTGATTGCAGCAAACTGAAAAAATATATCCTAAATTGTCTATTTGATAAGATAAGATATTCAATACACTGAATTTTCCTATCCATCTGATGTCCATATGTGATCTGCGAGATAATCTAATTTATGTAAATGAATTTAAATACACGGCTTACAACAGAAAATTGTATTTATATATATGTTTTTATGAAAAAAGAAATAGAGAATATTTTATTAAATAAACATTTATTACATTTATTCCAATTTGAATAATTATTATGTATGCTGATAATTCTTAGACGAATATGATATAAATTTATTTTATTTTTATAATAGAATCTTAGGTTTAAATATTGAAGAATAAATTATACATAAACATTGTTTTTATTATATATATAAATATATATATATATACTGGCTACTACTTGTCTAGGATTTGTCAACTCTTATTCGGAGATAATCTAGAAGTCAGAATATGGAAAGATAATAAAAATAGACCCTTACCCAAGAAGGAGACATCAATCTGTCTGACTATTATTCCTGTTGATAGATGTCGATATACAATAGCAAGATTGATGAATTATTTAATCGTTTGGCACAGCAGACGTACAATGGATGCTCTCTTTTGAGCAGCAATTCCTTTTTCTCTTAAAATTATGTCGCTATTATAAATAATTCGGCAAAAAACAAAAATTGGTACAGTGGCCTACAAAAAGTCAGTGAGTACCCGTAAAATATAATAATCATTACACAAATATGCTCCAATGTAAAGTTTTTTTTTTATTAATTGACTCACCTTTTGTATTATAAGTTAAGTTGATTACCAAGTTGAATTATGCTTACTCTGAAAATTACATGAATTTCTGATTAAAATTAATTGTTATATTTTGAAATTTATTAAAATATTTAGATATTTTAATGGAAATCTATGGTAATAATTTAGCATTAAAATATTTGCTTTAAAACACTTAATTTTTTTTTAATAAAATTATTTGTCATAATTTACAGCATAATGATCACGAAGTATCATCAACATTAACAAAATAATTAGCAAGTTACACACATTTGGCAAAGATATTTGGCATCTATTAATTATTTGTAAATTGTTAAATAAAGAATAAATCATGATCTTATATTATGATTATAATAAAAAAGTTAGAAACAAATAGTCAAAATTTCCAACATTCATACAAAAAAAATTTGGCTAAATTTAATGCACTAGTTTTGCTAAATTCCGGTAAATAATCTGGTAGTGATCTACAAATGATCGGCAAATGCCAGTAAAAATGTTGTAACTTGCTGATCATTGCGTTAATACTGATGATAGATACTTCATATAATGTTATAAATTATGGAAAATAATTTATTTAAAAAATAAAATATGATCAAATAAGTTAGTTTATCGTTGTATTAATACTAAAAGATTTCTATTAAAAATCTAATTTTTTTCCAATAAATTTTAAATACAAAAATCAATTTTAATTAGAAGTTCGTGTAATTTTCAGAGTAGGTGTAATTCAACTTGGTGATCAACTTTACTTATAATACAAAAGGTGGGTCAATTAATAAAAAAAAAACTTTACATTGGAGCATATTTGCATAATGATTATTGTATTTTACAGGTACTCACTGACTTTTTGTAGGCCACTGTACATTCTACCTGTTTTATATAATCGTATTCCACGTTTTTTCAGTAAATGTGGTATATTATATTTTTATACATAAATATTACAGAATTTATAACCTGAAAATTATTGTGTAAAAGATTCACGAAGTTTTTATAAAAATTATGAAAATATAATGGATAAAATTTTTACGGGATGTTATTAAGAAAGTAACTGTTAGCCATTTTAATGTCCAATATGGAGAATGTTAAAAATTTTTGCTAATTCAAGTTATTAATAATTTTTTTTTTATATACTACCTGAGATCTTACTTAGATTTTGCTAAAAACAAGTCAGTAACAATACTGTATAAGCATACATTTTTACATCTAGAGTATTCTTAGTCAAAAAATATACTACTCTAGCTAAGAAAAAGTGTTTCTAGTTAATCAATTGCTGATAACAAAAGCTAATATTTTTTATTTTAATTAACAGGAGGATGATTACCTTTTTAAAGAAAATCGTAATTTTTATTAAGTATATTGAGGTGTATGTAATCACATTTCACACAAACTAATGTTATTACTGGATTACAAATACAAATATAAAGTGTACAGTGTATTCATAAGCTTGGTCCTAGAGTTAAGACTAAGATATTAAGTGTATTAGGAAAGGTGTGTTCTTATGGAAATTATATTTATAGAATTAAAAATTACTACTAAATGGGTAATATTACTTTTACAGAGTTGACTATTAATTGTCAAACAAATGAAATTTACAATATACTACTATATTTGTATAATTATATAATTAGTTAGTCAATATATGCGGAAAATCATTAATTCTAGAAGAATTCTAGAATTTTAGATTTTTCTGTCAATCCATTGTTAAAAATATTAGATAATTCGTTTCCTTTTTTAAAAAACAAGTTAAAACCGTAGTCTATTTATTCACATAATCGCTATATCAAACTTATTTTAATTCTTATTGGATCCTTAAAAGAATAGATTTCAAACCAAATTTGATTTTTCGTCATTTTAAAGAATTCTTGAATTCTTTTTTCTTTCGATAATGACTGAAACTTTAAATCATGATCTTCATTATCATTTTGGCTACAATGTTTATTTACAGAATATTCATGTACAATATGAATTATTTCATATTGTATATATATGCTAAGCTTTTGTAGATTCATTTTAGAATTAGGGGATTGTAATACAAGGAGGACATTTTTCTCTTCACTATAAATGGCTACGATTGATAATGCCGACCAAAAAGATTTAAATTTTTAAAGCGGTTTATATCAACTGAATGTATTATATGCAATTATTAAATGGAGTATGTTATAATGAAATTTTATTATTACTTTAGATTCATCTTCAAAAACCAAATTTCTATAATGTTGAATTTAATATAAGATATACAATATATAATAATTTTATTTTAAATCTTTATCATGAAAATCAAATGTTTTTGAATCTTAGCAAGTTTTGATTGATATAAAAAAAAACCCAAATATTTGTATCATTAGTATATCATGTGAATTAAACCTTTCAACTATTACCAAATACTGCAAGGTTTCTTTTAAATCGTTTTCAAATATGATCTACGTTCATATAAATAATCAAATAAGCCTTTGCAGGAGTTTTGACAATTTAAAATGGTTATTAAAGAATAAGAAGCCAATTATATGCCTGATTCCACATAAAAAAAGTACTTTAAAGAAATAAAAATAAATTGTTAATGTTTGATTAACTGTAAAGTTTTCTATTTAATTTCTAATCATATAAAATTAGGATGATAATTTCACGTGAAATTATTACTATATAATAAACAGAAATTAATTTAAGGTTGCTACACAAGCTGAGTTAATAAAATGATATTTAAAATTCTTTTATATGTTCTTTTTTTCTGGTTTTTTTTAAACTGATCAAATATTGCATCATTAAAAATTAAAATAGAATCTATTATTCACTATTTTTAGTGAACAAGTTGCATTTGTTGAAATCGAAGCAAGTTAAAAAACTGTTATTCGTGGAAACTGGTTTTTTTTGCACGTTATTTCGGAGGATTTGTTCCGGGAGATATTTTCTAAATCAAGAAAATTTTTACTTCATCTATACTATATTTTAATATATATTTGTTCTTTTTTTTTTGCCGAATATATTGGATATATTGATATTATAATTTAACACTAAAATAGTAGGTATGTATATATCAAAACATTATAAATAAACCTAAATTTTCTTTACCCTTGATTTTCAAAAAAAAAAACATTAAATTTAAGGTTTATAATATGCAAGAAATTATTGAGGCGAACCGCAGAACATTGCGGGAAAATATAGATCAGAATAGATTGGAATTTTTTCCACCTCCAACTTTGGATCCTGTCATTACTCTTGATCGTTTAAGCTATGTTAATCGACGTCATCCCAGAAATAAAAGTGTTACTGGTTTTGGTATTTTAAGATATTACGTCTCATTACAAGGGCAAATTATAAACTGTGATGAGGCTGTAGTCGGTAGGGTAGCAACTGAAGTATGGAAATCTGCTACCGCGGCAGAAAAAAGAGATTATACAAATTTATCGAACCAGGTTAAAGCATTAATCGCTAGCCAAAATAGAAGCTAATTTTCTAAGAAACCATTAACCATAAATCTAAGCATTATCCGCGTTCAATTTTTCATCTTCATCTAAGTTTTTTTACGTATAAGAACTCTTTCCCTGATTTTATTTAAATATTAGATAGCCTGGTTGCTTTCAGTTTTTAATTATTTATTGTTTAGTTAGATTTAAATCTTTCAGGGGATTTTTGGGATTTTTTTTTTTTTTTTTAAGGATTTATTCGTACTTTTCTTTTGATTTTTAAGGTCTTTTTTTTTGTGTTTTTTTTAGGCTTTTTTATTTTCCGGGTTTTAAGGCTTTTTTAGTGATTCTTATGGTTTTAAGGTGTTTATAGGGTTTAAGATTTTTTTTGGGACTTTTTTTTTTCTTCGACATTTCGAAGTTTTTTTTTTTGATATATTATTGGGTATTGTTCAAGTAGTAGGTTTGAAATTTTTTTAATAAATTGATTTTTTATGGTTTTTATGCTTTAAAAATTATCATTTATTTTAAGTGATCTTACAAAGTTACTAAGTTACTCGTATTACTTAGCAAAGATTGCAAAACTAGTTTAATCATCTCAGATTAACATACAGTACATACTGTTTCACGCTTTCTTACAGCCAGTAGCGATAGCTCAATTTTCTTAAAGTTTTCTAGAGAGCTATTTAATTAATCGCACACAAATAATATAATTCTTTTGTTCAAGGTTTGCAAAAAGATTATAAGAATCATAAGATCTCTTTGTTCGTTCTTAAATGAGAAGTACAATATAAGCACTTCCTAAAGTACCCGGATAATTTATAAATATCCCGGTTTAAATTCGCGGGAATTACATTATATGCCGATCATAAAAAATTAATTCTTTGCGAATTTATCGAGTTTGTAAGTTCTTTATGTGTAAATTAATAACGTATATTTCGAATAATAAATTTTTAAAGAAAAAGCGGAATTACAATTATAAAATTTATAAAACTTTTGTTAAATTTCTAACTGGTGTTTAGTTGCAATAGATCTATGTTTATGCAAGATTATGCATGTGACCACATTTATAATGCATTAAACTGAGAGTTTTCTTTAAAGATTATTGGAAAAAAAGTGAACTTGTCGAAACTTGTACATATGTAGTAAGAAATACTATTTTTTAATATTACGAAATAGTTGAGAAAATAATTTATCTATGCTATTAAAGGATTATGGACACGAACTTTTTTTGGGGGCTATAGATCTTTTTAAAACAACCCAAAAATATATTTTTATACTATGATTTAATAATTTATCTATAGGGTGAATCCGGATAAGAGAGTCCGATTTTATTACAAAATAAGAAAAACATAGAGTCTAAGCCATCGTGTTACCCATATTTTTTTTTTTTGTGTCCTCATGTTTGATTGTGTCGCGAAAAAAAAAAACGCGATAATATCGAGCTACTTGTTTTTGTTTTATTTATTTATTTATTTTTTTTTTTTCCATCGATTTACTTGATATATTCGAAATATTGTAATATTGTAACAGAAAAAAAAAAAATTAAATGGTAAATATTTACTATGATCGACACATAACAACAATACGTTTTTTTATCCTTTCTTCTTTTCTTTTAAATGGTACAAATTAAGTTTCTTTTGCAATATGTTCTGCGAAACTAATAATAGTAATCCCTTCTTTTTTCTTTTTCTTCTTATTCACCTGATTTTTTTTTTAAAACAAATAAAATAAAAATAAATAATTTATATTAATAAAATTAAAGTTTTGGAAAAATTAAGTTATTCTCTTGGGATTCGAAGTTCGCAAAAAAAATATTTTTTTTTTTTTTTTTCAGTTTAAAAATCACATGAAGATTAAAAAAAAATCCGTATAATATAATACGATGATACGAATGATTGGCTGAAAATAAACCACGTTATGTCTTTCGTTAAACTTAAGACAATTATGGTCAAATCAAATATAAAAGATAAAAAACAAAAAAAAATTCTGCATAATTTATAAAATAGAATATTCTAAAAAAACAGTAGTTCTGCGTGCACTTAAAATTAAAAGGTAAGTAATTTTTGTAAATTGGCCAATCATGCGTAGCATATGAATAAAGTTCTTCGTTTAATATATAATTACTTTATTTTGATCAGCAATGATTGAAAATAGGTAAATTGGTTTAAAAATTATATCACAAGCAATAGGTACGTGCAGAAACAGCCAATGTGCCAAGGAATAATTATCACATGAATTAATATCAATTAGACCAGGGTAACCCTGTAATTGCATGATTAAATTTTAATTTAATTTTTTTTTTAAAGCAGAAAATACGCCACCCGACATTAAATCAGAAAATATTCACAGGTCGAAGAGATATGGTTTACATAAAAAATTTTCTGGGGAAAATTCTGATAAATGATCATTTTTCTAGTTTTCATTCCAAAAAAAAAAACTCCGACATGTGATCAAAGATCATCCATTTAATTTCCATGGAGTATATCATATGCACAAAATAATATCTGAAAATTATCAGTTCAATTTTAAAGTAGAAAATTTATTTTTATTAAAATACTAATTATAATAAATTGAAAATATACGGTACATATGTGTCTTAGTTTTAAAAAGTAAAATTTATGCTATAATATCATAATTAAAGTGGTTAAGCTACCACGGCGCAAATGTATGCGCTTGAAACTTATATGACAATTTGTGTCTTTGATTTTTTTCTTTCCCAATTATGGGTCACTATAAAATAATCAACGTTTAAGCTATGTTAATCGAAGAAAAAAATAAAAATTCCCAGAAATAAAAGTGTGAGCAGATGTAGACTTTTGCGATATTTCGTTCCATCGCAAAGTAAGACCGGAGAATTAATTCGAATATATGAGATCGAAAACAAATCGACGAATTATAATATAAAAAGCGAAATTGAATTATGTGGTAATAACATTATTTCATTGGGTTAATTTATTCCTTCTTACTCTTGATTACAGAACGTTTCAAAAGTTTTAACGCGGTTAAAAAACTTTTAAATGTAATCAAATCTATTATATGCGAAGGTAAGAACGAAAAATTCGTTGATCGTATGTTTTGATGATTCTTTGCGCATAACTTAGATCTTAAAGTTTTTCTTAGGTTTTTTTTAGATGTTTTTAAATCTTGATCAAGATTTACATTTTTTTTTAATTTTTTTTTTATTTTTCATAAAAGTCCGTTCAGTTTCTCTCGCTTCTTTTTATAAGTTATTTAGATAATAAATTTGGTGTTTTACCAAATTCTTTTTGCAAACTGAAACGAGCACTTGACAAAGAAATTTACATACGTAGACAATAGTAACACACCCAAAAAAAGACTTAGTTTCAGCCATTTTGCAAGAACTAGGTAAACAAAGGAAACAAAGTACGTCATTTAATTTTAAAATCATAATTACAAAAAACCCTTTAATTATTTAAATGTTTTATGTAATTTCTTTTAGTAAGTAATTCATTTTATAAACGGGGGGAATTATAACCGATATAGTTTCTCTTTAATAATGCGCTTCTTAATAATTTAATTTTTTTCTTAGATAATATGTAAGTTATTCTAAGAAAAACTAATTCTAAATATAAAAGTCTACAAGGGTTTTGCAATCCCATATGAAATTATGTGTGATATGCAAAGAAAAGTGGTGATATCGAATAAAACTTCATAAATTCACAATATTCTACAAAATTTGTTTATAACTCGATGAACTTAGTTCTAACCTTAAAAAAATCAAAAAAAATGGCCAGTTTAATTTCAATTTTCAAACTATCCGTTAAAAGATTATGCATGCGAGATTAAAGGTTTTACTGATACTGTTTAATGCGTTATTTGTTATGCGGTAAATAAAAATAATTCTAGTACATGTCAAATTAATTATAAACGTAATTTTCACGAGTAATTCGCGTGATTGCATATTTAGCTGCAGCTAAAAGCCGAGATGTTTTAACTGGTACTTGACAGCTGAACTATTAAAATGTATATTAAATATCAGATGTATTATGCACGCTATGCGTGTGTCTAAATTATCTTTCTTAATAAATTTATAACTAAAAAATCTAATTTTGATATTCTCAAACTATTTTGTAAATAACGATTTAATTACGGTTCCATTAGTATATTGAATGTATCAGATTCAGACGAAAGGAATTTTAATGTCACATCACAATGACACAATGAAAGCTGATTAATCACATGATGACATGATTGACCGGAAACAATTTTACCCCTTTGTCCGTTTCGATCATTCAAATTTATCTATTAAGAAGCAATTTTTTTTTCTTTGTGCTCAATCTTTGCCTCGAATATCAAAAGAACTTGTGAAAAGGAATCATAAATTATTTTCTTCTTTTTTATAATAAAAAAAATATTCTGCCAAAATTACCAAAATCCAAATGTATCATTAATTTTTTATCATGAGATTTTAATTTTTGATTTGATTGATTGTAAAAAATTTTCTATATAATATATTATATAATCTTGTATGAGTTATTGAGTTTCCTAAGTTGCGTAAATTTTACGTATAATAAATATATCAAAATTCATTAAGTATTATTTACAGTAAGGCTGAGTTTTTTTTTTCATTGATAAATAGCTATTTTTTATCATGATCTACAACAATATTTATTTCCCTTTCATGCAAGTAATTAAATACCAAATGTTTTTGCGCGGGCTGTACCTTTATTACAAAATTTACTATTTATAGTTTTTTTTTTTTATTTCCCTTTTTTCTTTATTTTTTTTTTTTTTAAAAAAAAAGAAGAAATTAATGATATTGATCTGTTTAGACCACGTGTAATAAAATAAAACGCCTGTACATAGATTTCGGTGATAAAGAAGTGAAACAGATTTTCTATCGCCATTCTATATACATAATTAAAATAATACATTTCAAATCAATATAATTATTATCATTTTAAAGTTTATATTGTTTATATTTATATAAATTTAATTGGAAACTTAAAAAGAAAAAGAAAGATCAACAAAACACTTTTCATAGTCTATCCTTTTTAGGATTATTCAAAGAGCAATAAAAAATTACGTAGTTCAGCCAATGCTACAGCTGAAACTTTATTATCAATGTTTAAAATATGGATTCCTTTTTAATACATATCATATAAAATCGTTATAAAGCGAAAAAAAAAAATAAAGATCAAAGAAATTTTATTAAAAATTATAACAACGATGATCATAAAAGTAAAATTTAGAAAGTCCGGAAAGTCCGGAGCTCCGTTGTATCAAAATATTTCTTTTATGAAAAGAGTATTTGCTTTCTTCAGCCAATTTTTTGAATAAATCACATGTTTAGAAATTTCTCGGAGATATTTCCGCGTGAAATTTCTAAATTTAAAGTGTATCCGAAATACAATTTACTATTATTATATCATTATGCATGCGAAAAAAAAAAACTATTTCATATATAAATTATATAAATTCATCTTTTATCGTTCACTTCATATATTAATTTTGTCAAAAAGTAATAATACTTTTTAATATTAAATAAACCAACATCTTGAGTTGGTTTTTCTCTTCCCAATTATGGGCCTCGATACTATATTCGGACGTCTTAACTATGTTAATCGATGAAATCCCAGAAATAACAGTGTTATCGGACGTGGACTTCTGATATTTCGTATCATCGCAAGGCCCAAGTGAAACAAACCATTACCGACCGTGGCACCCCACTCCCGATTACCTGAAAAGAGAATCGAGTTATTATGCTTCAACAACTTTATTTCATTGGTTAACTAAATTCCTTCTCGCACTTGTTTCAAGTAATGCATATGATTTGATTCTCTTTTCCACGATTTTTTTTTCCTTCTCAATTACGATCGTATCAAATTTTCTTCTCATGAAATATTTTCAAAAAATCTTTCTTGTAAAAAATTTTTTTTCGTTAATATGTATGAGTGTAATAACGTACTTCTTAGATGTATAATTGATTATTTTTTTTTTTTACCATTTGATAAATTGTAAGCATTCAGTTCATCATCCACTTTATAATAATAAGAAAACGATATTTAATTGTTTTAGAAATATAGCATAAATAATAAAATATAAATTTTAAGTTGAAAAGAATAATACACATTGCAATTTTTGAAATTTTGAAAAAAATTCTTTCGTGTGTCACGTGATCAATGCATCTTATCTCGTGATTCTGTGCAGAAGTTAATATTTCTTTGTGCAATAAAACAAAGGCAATCGGAGTTGAACTTTTTTGCCTTTTTCATCATTTGACATATTGAAGTAGTGATACGACGATTTTTTAACAATTGAAAGTATATGCTATAGTTTATAGTTTTGAAATTTTAAATAAATGCATTAATAAATTTTAAAGTAATTCCATTATTTACTTATAATAGAACTAATTACAAATATGATTTAATTAACATTTCCTTTTCTGAATTATTTTTTTCACTGAATTATAAATTTATTAAACCTGTCCTATAAAAAAATTTTTGATCAGATGTTAGTTTTTTTTAGTTTTTTGGAATAATTTTAACGAAATTTTTTTTATAGTGCTGATGATAGATGCTGTAATGTAAAAACATAAATTTATAAGGTAATAAGCATGCAAAATGTAAGTGCTACTGCAACTTTTTATTTTAGTAATGTTAAATATATACATTCATTTTTTTTCAAGCGGTCATCACAAGATGTATGCTGAAAGAATTTTCTTACATGGTTACCACATAAGTATACCGTCAAAATCAAGTGGCTGATTCTTACATGCTCGGCTAAAGTACATTTATTAATCATTTGCAATATCTTTGAAGAGAAAGAAGAATAAAGGCTGAAAAGTTATTACTTGGCTTTTTTTCACAAGGATTTTTGATCTTTGATTATGCAAGTGGGCGAGAGATTAATCTATTCTGGCATTTTATTTCGATATACTGTATATATCTTTTTTATCTTTGTTTAAACCGTTAATTAATCGTACAAAAAATATGTCAGAGCTGCAATGACTCATGTTTAGATATGTTACAAATTTTGCCATATTTTCTATATGTTGTTGGATTTTTATTGTACGTTCTTTTCGTACTAATTGTAAAACCTTGATATTTTGACATTATGTCTATGTGATATGTTCAATATATCACAACTAATTTTTTTTTAAAATTTATAATAATTATAGTTTTGCATTTATGGAAAAAAAACACGGAATAATTTTTTTTTTCACTAAATTTGTTAAGAGTTCGGAATTTTTTTTTACCTTAAGTTGGCGCTTTGAGATAGTCAAGTTTCAAGTTTGATAAGATATTGTTCAGCCATTTTATTTTTTTAAAACACGTTGAAAAAAAAAAAGTATTTATATATATATAATATATATATTATTTTATTTATAGTTACTGTACATCAAATTAAAAGAAACTTTGTTTTTTTAATCACTCCTTCATCAAAATATTTTTTTATGATCATTTTAAAATCATCTGTAAAATATTTTTCCTCATAAGTTATAAAAAATGAGCGGTTTTCTACCTTTCCAATTCTCAAAAAAATCTATCAGACCATCAAGAGTAAAAATAAAATTTGCACAAAAAGTGATTTCGTGTAAAGTTTCTGGGGAAAATTTAACTATAATTTTTAATATTTCATCACATTCGAGTTCATCCTCATTATTTATTGATAAATTCAACTTTATTAACCGCGAACAATTTATTAAAATTTCTTTTATTCCATGTAAATCTTCAAGTTCAACTTCAATGATTAATCTCTCAATATTTGGACAATTTGTAGAAATTGCTTTAATTAATTTTTTAGTATAATTAGGATCTTGATTACACATTCGGCATATATCAATGTCTAAAATGTTTCCATTTGATTTCTCAATCAAATCACATTCTATGGAGAATGGTAAAAATACGGTTTCAAGATATTGAAGATTCGGAAAAGATGCAAGAGATAAAGATACTTCCCATTCACTTTCCCTAAATATATCCATCACATTAAATGCACTAAAATTTTTAAGTTCCAAATGTTGTAAATTTATTAACGATGGAAGAAATTTAGGTGAGAGTGAAATGATCCATGGTTCTATAGAAAATTTTCTTAATGTACTAGCTTTTCTTTCAATTACTTCGCTTAATCCTAAACATTGTTTTTCAAAACTTTTAAAATGTAAATATAATGATCGTAAAATTTTTTGGGTATCAATGAACCAAATTAATCCTGGAATATCGTCATAGCATTCAAATATGGATAATTCTTCAATATTTTGACAAATTTGCGACATTGCAAATAATTCTCTTGAAGTAACAAAATCAAGATCCATTATTAAGGAACGAAGTTGAGAAAAACAGGTTGGTGCTCCATGAAATTGAGACAAAGGTTGTGTTGTTTGCCAATTAAAATATTTTATGTCCTTACAATTATTTATAAATAATTTATAAATTTCTTGTTCCAACAGATATTTTTTGCCTGTTTCTTTATATTTATTAAATCCATCTTCTTTTTTAATTAAGTTATTTATCATATTATTAATGAAATTTGGTGGAACTTGTGATGAAAAGCTAATATAGTTGAACAATGGTTGGTTTGAAAATTCTTGTATAGTAGGTAATTCAATATTATTATCCAATAAAAGTTTTTTTGAAAATGTTGGTAATAAATAAAATATTAAGTTATAAAGTTTACGATTAGAAAGTGAATCCCAGTTACCAATATCAAATTCGAAAGGAACTTTCCATAATATTGGCATAGCTGTACGACACCAGTATCTATTTACCAAAATACATGAATATAGAGATGATGCTTTCTCTCTCAAATCATTAAAAATAATTATAAGACAATCTGCGATTAGACGTGACATTATTGTATTCGTAAAACGAAAGAGAAAAAAAGATAGGATTTTAAAAAATAATTTTTTTCTTTATCAGACTCTAAATTTATTTTGCTAAAGGCGTGTAACGATATTCATATGATCTGTTGATCAATACATAGGTTTTTGATCCATAATCGGGTTATAAAAGCAAAAGATAAACATGATTAATAATAGATTTATTTTCATATTTTGACAGGTTTTTATTTAAAAATACGTTATTAACGCAATTAAGTAAACAAATGCAAGTTTGGCGATATGCCGACAATTTATAATTATTATTGTTGTACGAATGGAACATCCTCGTCTAGTAAATTTTCTTTGATTATTCCTTCTTCATAATATTTTTCAACAATCCTTTTGTATTCCTTATCTATGTCACCAATAAATTTCATAGTAAATGCGAGTGGTTTCTTATTTCTCCAATTTTTAAAAAATATTTCCAACCCTTCAATTGAAAATTTCCAATTTTCATTAAAAGAAAATTCATATAAAGTTTTTGGTGAATAATTTGTTAAAATTTCTAATAATTTATCACAATTATTTTTTTCTTTGTTATCTGTTGAAAGATTTATCATTTTTAATTGTGTACAATTTAAGAGAATTTCTTTTATTCCATCTAAATTCTCAAGTTCAGCATTAATAGTTAAGTTTTCTATCTTTGGACACTTTTCAGCGATCGCTTTAATTAATTTATTGGTATATTCTCGATTTTGATCAAATGTATGAAGTATATTAATTTCTAAAATATTTCCAATAGATTTTTCGATTAACGCATGATATTCACAAGATGCTAAAATTGCGGTTTTAAGGTATTGAAGATTTGGAAAAGAAGATATTAACAAATGTTTCTTCCATTCACACATTTCTATACTTTCGGTTTTATATGTTTGTTCGTTAAGTTCTAAATATTCTAATTTAATTAATGATGGAAGAAATTTGGGCGAGAGTAATATAATATTTGGTCCTATGCTAAGTTTTTTTAGTGTAGCAGCTTTTCTTTCGATTACTTCACTTAATTGTAAACATTGTATTTTAACACCTTTAAAATATAAACTTAAAGATCGTAAATACTTTTGAGTATCAATAAACCAAATTAATCCTTCTGGAATGATATTACAACAACCAGATATGGATAATTCTTCAATATTTTGACAAATTTGTGTCATTGTAAATAATTCTTTCGGATTAATCATTTGTAGATCGATTATTAAGGAACAAAGTTGAGAAAAACATGATGATGCTCCTTGAAATTGAGATAAAGGTTGTGTTGTTTGCCAATTAAAATGTTTGATGTCCTTACAATTATTTATAAATAATTTATAAATTTCTTGTTCCAATAGATTTTTTTTATTTTTTTCTTTATATTTATCAAACCCAACTTCTTTTTTAATTAAGTTATTTATCATATTATTAATGAAATTTGGTGGAACTTGTGATGAAAAGCTAATGTAGTTGAATAATGATTGGTTTGAAAATTCTTGTATAGGTGATACAATATCTTCATCTAATAAAAGTTTTTTTGAAGATGTTGGTAATAAAGAAGTTATTAAATTATAAAGTCTATGATGAGAAAGTGAATCCTCGTCACCAATATCAAATTCAAAAGGATCTTTCCATAATATTGGCATAGCTATACGACACCAGAATCTATTTACCAAAATACATGAATATAGAGATGATGGTTCCTCTATCAATTCATTGAAAATAATTATGAGACAATCTTCGATTAGTTGTGACATTATTTTGATATTTTGTCTAACTGTGTGTAATAATTGTAATAATTTAATAATTGATACGCAAACTCAGGATTATGGGTTTTATGTAGTTTAGCCCTGTACTGCGGTGAATGATCAAAATATGTGGTTATTGTTGTAATTATTGTTATTGTTGACGATCAACTGACATTATATTTCATATGTAAAAATTATTTAATTAATGACAATTAAGGACATAAAAACAAAGCATTTTTAAATAGGAAACAATAGTTCATAAGTTATTACTGTAATTGTTTATTTCTTTCACTTTTATTACGTTATTATTTATTATTTATTTATTATATTTTGATTCTTTATACGTTGTTTTGATTGTTTATTAGTAGTAAAGCCTTGGCGTATAACTTTAGAATTTTAATAAACATATTTATTTTATAAATAAAATGATATAACATACGGATATAATACTAAATTCTCTCTTTTTTTTTTAATTCTTCGTAGCTTTGGTCAATATCTTTACTCGTATTTAATTATCCAAGATGATGATGCTGGGCGAAATCGAAATATTTAGTCATTTTGACGAAACCGAAATATTTAGTAATGCAGGGGCCGTAAAATTATTTTTTTAAAAGACGAAATTGCCGAAATTCAATATTCCATAAAATTTCCATGGATTTTTAATTATAATTATAATAATTACATAAATATAAATAATATTTTTTACCTGTATAAATTTTGGCAAGGGTGCATAAAATTTAAATTTATTATAAAAATTTACAATTTTACGCATTATATAAATTTACCTGAATGCACATATTTTTTTTTTTACGCATCCCTAATAATAATAAAATTACTTATAAAAATGAAACTTTAAATAATACGTCTACAATATCCCTGTAAAAAAAGTTGTTCCTTTTTTTATTTTCCATCTTTTTTTCGTAAATTGCTCATATTTCCGGAATTAATATCCTTATATCATGAAATTTATCGAATTATTTACCTTTTCCGTGAATAGATCCGTGAAAGGCTCATTTTTGCGGAGTTTTTACAGAAATAACGGATAAAATTTTTTATGGGGTATTCTATAATAAAACAATGATAAGTTAGCAATTTTTCGTCATAAATATCAATTAACAATCCTATATAAATAAAAGTGAAAAGTAAAAACTCATATTTTTCCTGAATCCGTTAATATTATAAGCCAATGTCTAAACTTAAGCCAACTCCTAGACCCGAAGCTAATATATAACCCTAAGTCAATGCAAAATCCTACATAATTAAAAAAGAAAAATAAGATTAGTATTTTTTTTCCCTAAACTGTCCCCAACCCTAAGTTAATGAAGCCAACTCCTCAGGGAGTAAAATTCAAACTCAAAATTATGTGCGGTACTAGCACATTATTTACCATAATAAAGTGAGCTGATGACTATATCCGCACATTTAGCCACAAAATTTATGATTTATGTGCGCACATGCACATCCAAATAAAAATTGAGGGCAGATTTGAACACATATATAAAATTATATTGTGCGCAAATTAATTACCATGCTCGAAGCGAGCATTCCGCACATCAATTTTAGACACTGCAACTCCTAACCATAAACAAAATTATATTGTGCGCAAATTAATTACCATGCTCGAAGCGAGCATTCCGCACATCAATTTTAGACACTGCAACTCCTAACCATAAACAAAATTATATTGTGCGCAAATTAATTACCATGCTCGAAGCGAGCATTCCGCACATCAATTTTAGACAATGCAACTCTTAACCCTAAACCAACTCCCTAATCTAACTCTAAGCAACGCCTAACCCTAAGCCAACGCCTAACCCTAAGTCAACGCTAACCAACTCATAATAACTACCAATTAGAATTTTTGTTTGTCATTCTTTTTTTCTTTTGACAGGATTTGATGAACAAGTAGTATGATTATGTCTTTTATTACTACAATAACTACACTTATTTTGATTCCGCCCATTAGTGATTTTATTAGAGTCATTTGAAATTTCTAAAGGTCTTTTAAATCTGGTATTACCTGGCGGTCTTCCCTTTGGATGTCTTATCACGAGATTTCTAACATTTTCCTGATCAAATTTTGATAGGTTATTCATATTCTTAGGCTGGTCTAATTCTTAAGCCAACTTCTAATGTTAAATTTGTATTTGTTTCCGCAGTATTAATAAAGCAGACTTCATTATCACTTAAGTCGCTGTCATTTAAGAAATTCTTCAGTAAAAGATCACTATTAGAGCTATCACTGGACATAGATTCAATATCACTCATTGACATTGTTAAAGCCGTAAATAAAGTTGCTTGCCAAAAATAAAAAGATCATTGCCGAAATGGTAAAGATAATTTTGACATTTTGACATTTTGACATGACGAAATTATTCTATTATTAAAATTGACCAAAATGCAAATGACGAAATAGAAAAATAATTTCGACAATTTCGACATGACGAAATTCACGAATTTGCAGCTTTAGCCGTAAATAATAAATGAGAGAAAAGAAAAATAAGGAGAGCGTGAGAAAGAAAAATGGAGCTTATAAAAGCTTATTAAAACGTGATCGTAGGTAAAAAGTTTTGGATAAATCACGTGATGATCACAAATATCTGACAAATAAATTTTATGCTGGGGGTGCATAAAATGCACGCACAAAATTTAAATTCCCCTTTTTTATATAACTAAAATTAAATTAAAAAATTATTACTATATGATGAAACCGAAATTTTTGGCAAAAAGAATTTAGGCAAACATCACAGATCCAAGACCTTGGTTGTTTTAAAACCGAAATTACCAGGATCATAATATAATGGTAGAGTCCGAGTTTGCGGATAATCATGTAGGTATTTCCGTTTTTATTAACTCAACCGAGTTGTTAACTTGTATTACCGCCATTATGCAATTCCGCCGTTATCTTATTATGACATGTTTTACATTTAGTTGATAAAAAGGTTATTTAAAAAATATTTTATATTTAATAAAAGAATGAACGAATATTTATCATACAGTATATTTCGGAATTCTAGATAAGTTACTTTCTACATTTTTTACTTGAGAATCAACATTAGTTGGAGCGAAATCGACCAAACAAATTGGATTTACTTTTAGTTAATAAGAATATTTCCATATCCGTTATTGTTTTATATTTGTTTCTTATGATTGGCGTGATTTTAAACATAAAATTTTATCCAATATTAAAAATAATAATTATGATAAAAAATACGGTTATTCACTCGACGACCGACAGGAAGTTTGTTCGACACTTTTGACCAGCATGTAGGCTAAAAGTGTCAGGTAAATCTGAGGGGAGGGAATCAATTTTCCTAAGCAGAGTTTTCCTTGAATATTAAGATTTATCCTATCCTATTTATCCGGATTTATATCCTGTTATTTTGAACGAATCTAAAACTCGTGAAATGGGTAATAAATCGGATTATCCTAATATTTTCATAATCAGCTCGGTTCTTGGATAATTATTCGGATCACCGATACCTTATTTTTGACAGGATATCCGGAACTTAAATTTCCAAATGGATTATCCTTAATCCGGTGAAAAGCTCTATTCCTGTGGAAAATAATTTGTGAAATTTAAATATATACAAAGGAATATGTTTCATTTTAATAAAGAAAAGGAACATGTTACATTATAATAATAATGTAAGATGATTATACGTGAACGTGCCACTCGCTCATCATAGAGCAAATTCGTTTCTTTGATTATTCCTATTATTCCTTCATTTTAAAGAATTGTCCAGAGTGTGAAAATTTTGTGGTCACGGTGTCTATATCCACTCACGTGATCTTCGGCCAATAAATTCTCAAGTTTGTTCCGGTTCACAAGTCACAACTGGTTCCGTTCCCTAGTATTATGCTAAAAAATGATGATTGTGAATAGAAGAAAATTTTTAAATTGTTATTATGAAAAGTCTGTATGACGTTCCTGCAGATCTCTAAATTTCGCGGACCATCCGATGAAATAGATGATATGGGCGATAAAATAAACGATGAGCACTTTTTCTAGTATAAAACGGGTTGTGTTACCTAATTATTGCATAATTATGAAATAATTTTACGTCACGAGTCAAAATATATTACTTTGTTATATGTGTTACAGTATAATAACTGCATAAGCCACTTTCATTATCTATGCAATCTACAACACACTCACGTGACTTTTTTCTTGCTTTGTAAACTTCTTTAGATTTGATTGTTAAAGCAATCTGCTTTTTACTAACTACGAAAATTTCAAAGCGAGTATATAATATTTCATAGTTTGGAAGGTCTATCTACCATAATTTCGATCTTGTTAATTTTTTTTCATCTAGTTAGGTTCAAACTCAACCATCTGTCAATTCTGTCAATACTTCTTTAAAAGTTCCTCTTTCTCAGCAACTTTCTATCGACATTAATTTTCGATTCAGTAAATTTTTGTCGATTTTGCTTCAAACTGATTATTATTAAGTAATACTTTCAGTTCAACCACAATATTCTCTTCCATAATAATATACAGTGATATTAAACTATTTGTTGTATCAATAGCAGTCCAAACTCCGAAGAAACCGGAATCACTTGTCGTAGTAAGTTTAAGCTGTGTTGGTAAAATTAAATGCCCGAAGGACCAGTGTTAGAGCTACAGAAAGTCCTTCTACAGTTGCGGAGCAACTTTCTAAGAAAGTGTTTATTTACCCAAGTATCAACACTGAGTAGAAGTATGAAATTTAGAACGTCCCGAGATTTTCAAAGAGCATCCATAGAAACCAGAGTTTGAAGAATTTCCAAATTCATCAATAACAAATAAACATCACATACTATGTTGGGAACTGAACTAGAAATTTTAATCAAGAACTTGGAACCAAACACAAGAACAATTAGATTTGAAATGCTAACTAAAGGTTAGAATTTGAGTTAAAAATTAGTTATATATATATATTTATTTCTTATTAATTAATACGTTAATTTCATTTTTTTTTTGAGCATTAGTATTTATCCTCTTAAAGAAGTACCAGTGTAAGTGGTGGATAAAGGATTAACATTAAAAAATCACGACCTCTACAATTCGAGTTCAACATTTTTTTGCTATGTTATTAGTAATAGCGCGCAATCTTAAAATATTTTTGAACGGTGCTTCTGATTGAGCGATCTAGGGAGTGTTTGTAATTTTATACTTTATATTTTTTTTAATGTCTTCTTCTTAGGAGACTATTTAGCTTTATTTTAGTTTAGGTTTTCGTTTGTTTTCTTTTACCGTAAACGCAAATAAATTATAAATAAAAATAATGGCTGCTATACCCATGTTTGCCCTAAAACTTTTTTTTTACATACTATTCCTTTCTATGCTATACGTTATGCTTTTGTAAATTTCTTTGTACTATATATCAATGAAATTAATTAAGTTTGGAACATCCTTCATTGCAATAACATAATCAATAATATTGTAAATTTGTGTCATTCAATAAATAAGGAATGAAAGCTGATAAAACTTAATACTCCCCGATATTGAGATAAATGCTGTTCCGCTTTCCAATGAAAATCTCCGATGACATTCTTATAATTATTCAGTTAATAAAGTCTTTGATCAAACATCATCTTATTGACATTATGCGGATTGAAATTTGTGAGGAAAGGTTCGTGTCCTGTAAAACTAAAATATAACTATAGATAAAATACGTTGAAAAGTAATTGAAGGAGTCGCCTGCATTCTATAACTTTGTACAAAATGTAGGGTGTCTCAAGCCATTGGCAACATATATGTGTTGAGAATATTGAAAGAACAATATTGGAATCCAAAATCTATTCTCTAAAATATTCATCAATGAACTCACTATTAGAGAGAAATGGTCAAAATTTTTTATTCATTGCATCGTAATTAATAATGAACCCTTCTATAATCTAAGATTAAGTTTAAATGAAAGCCTTTACATAAATATATTCGGGGCTGATAATTTCAATCTATAATTTAAATTCTTTTATTAAAATTTTAGACATTGTTTATAATAAAAATGATTGTAATGTGCCTTCCTTTTATAATATTAAAGAATTGAAAAGAAGAAATATTTAATATTTTTTTTCATTCTTCCCTTCCTACAATAAAATGAATGACGAAGATAACAAAAATACGAAATAATTTCGGCTGGAATTATCCAAAAAAGGAAGGATATTGATTTCTACATCGTGTCTTTTATGCAGAGCTCGGGAGAGCATAATATGAATATTATCTCAAAGTCTCTATTACACATGTATTCTAACTAGAAACAATAATTTCTATAAAACTTAATCAATTACTAAATTCGATATCGGCTGGAGACATTTTCGATATTCCGTTGAACTTTTAAATATGTTATGCACAGCAAGTTGAAAATTACCAACCAATGGAGTATGAACATTATCGTCATTGTAAACCATAAATTCATGATGACCAATTACAATACTAGATCTGATGAAAACATAATACCACCTTATCAGGTTTGTGATTATCTTTATTAACCGATGTTGATCATATGATTATATTGATAAACTGGTTTTTTTTCCAGTTTCTCTTAATTTTAATGCATAAATGACAAAGTTCCACTGTTTAATTTTACCCTTTTTAGATAAAAAAAAAAAGTTCGGTACATCCGTTCAGCCCAAGAAACCAAAAAAAAGAGGTCATCTTAATAAAAATCGCATGAATCATATGCCCTGAATGCATTTCGGAATCGTTGGCGTGTTCAAATGCGATAAAGTTTTTTTTTTTTTTTTAGAGAATTTTTTTACACGGCGCTTTTCATTCATATTAATGAATGGCAGCTAATTCATTCATGTCAATGTTAATGAATGGCAGCTAATTAATTCATATTAATGAATAGTAAAAGATAAAAAGAGAAAAAAAAAAATAAGGATATTGACAATAAAGAAACCAAAACCATTAATAACCACAGTTTGTACGTGTTATCGATTCTATAAATTCTCTTGGTTTACATTAAAATCTATTCGAGAAAAAAAAAAAAAAAATTTTAAAATTATGTCTAAAATTATTTAATTATCTTCCTTAATTTAAGATTTAATATAAGTTTTTTTTAATGACTAAAAAACAAATATGACATTTATAATTCCCAATTATAGCCTGATGAAAGTATTACCGGTAAATTACTTCGAATAATATCGACTTCGAATAATATCGATATGAATACAATCGACGATTTTGTTGTATACTACTTATGATAGTAAAACCTTATTTCATTGGATTGATTTATTATTTCGTACTTTTTATTACATAACTTTCGAAAATTTTATGTAGTTAAAATTCGTTCGCTTTGAAAATATAGTGTATATATCATTTTTTACCCCTTTTTTTTATAAGAGTGATAAATAACAACATACTTAAAAAATCGCTACTTTTTTTTTTTATATTATCATTGAAATATTCATAATGAAAGTATAGCAAAGATAATATCAAGAATTTAAGTTTATGCGATGTAACAAAGGTTTTTAATTTTACAAACTTTTGCATACAATTTTTATTTTATTTTGTAAATCAAAAGTCATGTGAAATTACGTGCATTATCCAATCGAATTATCGTACGTATTTTTTTTTTTATTCCAAAACCCTCGCTTCATAAATCTCACTTTCGCAAACCTTAACTGTTAACTGCTACATACAATATTATAAAAATAGAATAATTCGTCAAACGTTACAATTAGTCGAGAAATTAATATGTAACAATTATATTTTATTAAGTTTTTATGAGATTTTTTTTTTTTTATGAATAAATTTCCTCTTTAAATAATGTTTTAAGTTTATTACATATAAAACATCTCCAATTTATAATGAATTCAAATTCCGTGTAGTGCTTCCGATTTTATCCGGATCACGGGGTTTCAAATTGGTTTGGGAACACGTGATCCGAGATTTCACATTTTCACATTAGATGGTTTGACCAGAATTATGATTTCTAACTGATTAACCGTCTAAAATCGGTTAATTAATCGATTAACGTTAATAATTAATTACAGATTGAATAAAATTACATTGTCCGATAACAACTAATCTTGTGAATCTGTTACGTTTACGAAAACACATCATTGTAATACTTTTTAATTAATATCTATTTTAATTACTTATGATTTAAATTTAATATTAATAGTTTATTAATGTTCTTATGACCTTTTTCAACAGCAGTTGCAACTAGTGTACCTAATATCCGGTTCGACCGTCCGATTTACCGATAACAAAGAAAAATCTTATATTCAGGAAACCCTCTATACCCCGCAGGAAGGCGATAAAGGGTATAGCGAAATTAAGATAACCGTCCACGTTCAAGTGAACTACAAGTCAAACCAATGGAGTCGTTACTATTGAATTCATCGGTTTGACTACTCCATCAATCGAACTTGACTAATTACAGCAGCAACAGAAACGATATTATTAACAATAAAAGCTACAAGAGAATTGCAGGTTGAAATAACAATATGAACAACATCAACAGAAACTTGAAGACATCATAGAGTAACTATTAAAGATATACTATAGTAGCAATGATTTTTCATATCAGACATACAAAGAGATTAACAATATCAAGACCGTCGGTGATGTGTATCATCGTTACAGACTGGTTCATCGTTGAGTGGCTGAAATTGCTGCTAGAATTATAGAGTTTAAAAAGGATAGTGTTATTAGCATTTAAAATATCTCTAAATAATTTTAAAATGATAGTAACACTAATAACTTTAGAAATATGTATGATGTCATATTTCCAACAAATTTAACATTACATGATTACTTACTTCATATGAGCGATTTGTGCCAGATGATAAATGACGTGCACTGACGCGTTGATTATGAACAATGAAAGTAAAAATTCAGATATTGTGTAAAGTAAATAAATATAAACTAAATTTTTTCAGTCTTTAGGTATTCTAAAAAATCAATAGTTGAATTCGAAATTTGAAAAATCATCTTGAAGATTTGTAAGTAAAGCAATTTATGAAATTTAATCCATTCTTGTTTCGTTATAATTACATGATATTACTTTAATAATGATATTGCTTTAGTAAAGTATTTGGAACGTTTGTCCTAAAGTCTTTGTCAAAATTTTATCCATTACACAATTTACGTCTAGAATTTAGAGTTACAAGACATTTGGTGTGTAACGAAAATTTTGTCAGCTGATCAAATGGTTTTCTAAAGATTGATAATCATTTTTTTTTTCACTTGGCTCAATAACTATTTTTTCTTTGCAAAAAATAAAATTAAAAAATATGTTGACGTAATATTATTATATCTTTATGATAATTACTTTTTCCTTTTTATAATTTAACAATTACGGTAAGGCTTTTATATTTCTAATTGTTTTTATTTACTTTAATGTTAACGTTATACCTTTACACAAGGCTCTTGCAAGAATCCTTTTTATAAGAGAGCTTTAGTCCTAAGTTAAACTAGAATCAGTAGCAGTAAAATTATCGCTCATTTAGAGAAAGTACAATGAAACCAACTCAAGGAACCTTATATATCAACGATTTAGATCTAGAATTTTCAAGAGTTCCTGACATTCATGGATTGGATACTCATGGGTGGGTATATTATGGTATTTATGAGAGGAGTACTAGGGGGAATAGGCCTTAGTAGTTAGGTGGCATATTAAAGAAAAATAATAAACGTTTAATTTCCTAATTATTAGATGTGTTATGATGTAGTATGGATAATTTACTTTTCACAACACCAAAATTTTATAATCTTTGGATCTATTTTCCCGTTACTTATAAATTTTTCCGAAAAATTTTGCAAGAATCAAAATCAATGTCCGTTCTTATAGTGTGGAAAAATGTGAGGTAAAAATGGTTGTTACAGATATCTATTTATTCTCTAATTTTTAATTAATCAAATGTATGTCATTTGAATTTATATTCAAGATCACTTTGACGACTATCTTAAACGAAGGAAGAAGTTCAATATAACATCAGGTACTTACGATGTTCAGTTAATCTAATATTATTAATTAAAAATCTATATCTAGTTCTTATTTGCGAGATAATAATATGATCAAATAAAAATTGATGGTGAATTAGAGGCTGAAAAATAATATTGATCTGCCCTCTTATCTAATTTTATTAATTTTTTCTCTAATTAAATATAATAGTGCAAGTTTATTAAAACCTACAGCGATAACTGTATGTCCGATTGGCTTGAGTCATTAGATTATACATGTTTGGACATTGTAATAATCCAATTGACGAAGTCTTTATTATAACGACATTCTTTTAAAAATTTTCATATCGATATGGATCCCGACATATCGTTATAACGGGTCTGATTGAAAGGTATATGCTCTTGAATTTTGGAATTGATGACATGATTAAATATAGTGATTTGGTAATTTTCTTTGATATTTGTTTATTATTAATTATACATATCATTTAATAAACTTGGTGAAATAATAATATATATTTAGTAGTGAAAATATTATGTACCTTGATTATTTAGGACGTCAATGTAATTATTAATATTCTCTCTTTTTTTCTTACTATTTAGAAGTCTAATACATATAAAACAAGAGGTAGAGAGAACAGGAAGTTTTTTTGGCGTTAAAGAATATTCAAGAGGTAAGACGATGCTAGTATTTTTTTTTTTTTTAAAAAAAAAAATTTAATATCGGTATGACGTAAAAGAAAATCATTTATTAACTATATATTACTATTCAAATAACGTATAATTTATTGCATACATGAATATTAATAGTAATTCTTTAAAAGCTGTAGAACGTATTGTAATCCCTTTGATCTTTCGAACATAAAGAGAATTCTTAGCTAAAAAGGTACAATTTTTATTTAATTCCGCGCCTTGTTGAAAGCTTACATGTTTATATTCATTTTATTGATAATAAATATTTTACTCTATATTGTATTTTATATTTTACTAAACCTCTTTTAGACAAGTTTAAATGAAGGCAGTCACACGAACGGATAATGAAGTCCGTTTTTTTTTATATATTTGGACCGGAGCAATTTGTAAACTTTTTTTTTAATAAATTTCTTTAATGTATTGCCAAATTTGCATTTTTAACTCACTATTTTAAGTGGAAAATTCTTTCAGTAAAAAAGATAAGATTGATATAAAATTTAAATATAATAATGTACGTATAATAATATAATAATATACATATAATAATATATATAATATATATTTCAATGAATCTTATTAAATGAGAAATGATTAGGGAGAGCCAAATAGTAACATGTGATGGTTTATTTATTTTCTTGTGTGTTCCATATTTATATATTTGATTGTTCTTAAATTGATTGTTGCTCAGTTTTTTTTTTTTTTTTTTTTTTTTATTTTTTTTTTTTTTGAAAAAAAAAAGTGTTCCCTTTCAACTTATGTGATTAATTAAATACACATGCAACTTCATGCATATATTGTTTTTGATATTGTTCTTGCCTCTACAGTTCTACCAGTAAAAACCACCACCTTGATTAAAGTTGAACCAGTTAATTTTTATTATTTTACATATATATACATATATTCATACATATGAAAAAACAAGTTTAAAACTTGATTACTATAAACCAGTTAAACTTTCAAAGATTTATTTTTTTCTTTTAAAAAACCTCATATAGCATACAAGGGAATTAAAATCGGAGCTAGTAGTCCGTTTTTTTTTTCTACTTAAATAAAAAAAAATATATATATATAAATAGATATAATTTTTTTTTTTTTTTTAAAAAAAAAAAAAAAAGAAAAAAAAAACAGAAAAATTTTTTAAAATTTTTTAAAAATTAGAAACCTAAAAAAAAAATTTTCAAATCGACGTAATACGTATATATATATTATATTATATATATACATATATATGTTTATATGTTAAAAATGAGTGTTATGGAAAGGAACCGTTTAATCCAACAATATGAATTATTTTTGACTATGATTCTCGAAGATAGACAGCAGGTTTTTCCCCTACCAATTAGAGATGTTGGTACCATGATGAAACGTTTAAGTTATGTTAATCGAAGAAGTCCCAGAAATAAAAGTGTAACCGGACGTGGAATTTTGAAGTATTTTGTATCTTTAACATTACGAGATCGTAACGTTCATTCTTCCGTTATCGGGTTGACCACGGATTCTTTATGGAAAAGCGCTACATCACACGAAAGAGCGGAATACGTAATCATGTCGAAAGATTTGAATAAAAGAATGATGCGATTTAAATGAGAAATTCTTTCTCATGAAATATTTTCAGAAAAAAATTTTCTAACGAGTTGTAAGAGTTGTAAGAATGTTATACGTAACATCCTTATTAATTAAAGAAAGAAAATGAATTTTGAATCGACATTTTCGAAATTCGAACTAACTAAACGAAACGAGAAATATTATTCTTTTTATTTTTGTTTTTTTCTTTCAAGGGGGGGGGGGATTTTTTTAAATATATAAATAAAATCGATTATATATTTTCAATAACTTTCAAATTTTACAATGCAAACAATATTTTACAATTATTACAATCCACGTATATTGTTTTTTCTAATATGCCACTTAACGTTTTTTAGATTTTTTTAGACGACAATAAGACAACAATGTAAACAAGGAATTATTAATTCACGTGATTACAGTTTACCTAATGCTTGACTATGAATAAATTAATCTAATTTCACGTTTTATTCATTTAATCAAAAACGAATATAAAATAATTGGATTAGGCGTAATTTGGGAACAATCCCTAATTAATTATATTCATTCACAAGCCCTCCTTTTTTTTCGAAATGTGAATATTTCCTTGTAATATTTCACACAATATTAGATTCTCATAAATTGTTTATGGGTTAAACCGAAAAAGAACATTCGATATATTTAGGGCGTAATTGACGACGAAAAAGAAAACGAAAAGGTAGAAATTTTTTTTTTTAATTACATTTTTTATTATGATCTTTCTTAACTTTACAATACTCATTTTTCATATTATTGTATTTCTAGCTTTCATCTGATGTTTGAAAATTGAGAACCTTAACTCGATATATCTTATTTGTATAATTGTATTAGAAGAAAGGTAGAAACAGAATATCATTTCCATATACCGAACTTTTATTAGATTTAACGATAATGTATAGTAGGTAAATGAAAATTTACTTAATATAATGATACCGATTCTAAACATAGAATAATGATACTAAACAAAGAGATAATCATCAGCTTTGTTCCCTGATCTCTTAAAAAGTACTTCCCCATTTTTAGTATTTCTTCTCACTAATCATAATTCTTCCATAAAGATCGAAATTTAGGCTTTTTCATCATCAAGTTCACGAAAAGATTGGGCACTGGGTGGGTTGGATGACACAAAGAGGTGTACTACCTGATTATTCACTTATATACACTCACTTTACCGAATACAAATACTTTTTATTTTAATTTTTATAATTCGAAAGATACATATATAATAGTTTTATGCGTACCGAAGCTTTACATAAATTCAAGTGAGTGTACAACGCCCTCTAATAATAATAATTGCCTGCGAACTACCTCCTTGCCGACTTTTCATGAAACATACTATTGTACCCGCAAAGTTACGAAGTGGAGAGTAAAATAGGAATAAGAAAAGATAATAACTGATCTATAAAGATCCGAATTTTTCTTTTGTTTTCGTAAAGAAGATTTAACCACACGTATGTGCAGAACGATACTACTGTCACTTTAAATCTTCTTAATTCTTATTAATCAAATGATTGAACGCTAACAAGAATCTTTTTGTTTTCACTAATAAAAATAGGGAATTATGAAAGAATTTAAGACGCGCTAACTAATCAGCCAATCTTGGGACAACCATTAAATTTTCCGTTAACGCTAACTATAATAGTACATCTAAATAGTCATTGTCTCTATATTTTAGTAATATTAATATACCTTTAATAGAAGATAATGAGATCCAACAATAATCAAGGAGTGTGCACGATGCTATAATGTAAGAATTATCCAAACTTAATAAAAAATAATTATTAAAAGATGTATAAACTGTTAAAAAGCACGACAAAATCCGACAAAACCACTTTCATTATAAAATAATTGACCCATTTAAAATTCTGCCACGAAAGTTCGAATAAATGTACGGCCAGTAAAATTTTAAAAAAATCTATGAATCTATGATGGTCATTTTCAAAAATTTTTTGGTCGGGATCACGTGGACGCAGCACGTGACCAGGATTAACAAATTAAATACTTCAAAAACATACACTTGGTCATCCTTGTTTTACTAATAGATTTTCTTTTTTTGGTTAGTTCTGTTCTTTTTTTTAGTTCGTAAACTTGATCAATCGAAGAGTGAGGTCCTGCGCGTCGGGTTGTTTATCAATGATCTGGCTCTTAGATAGTCCCTTGGTTTTACCATGTACTATTCATGTACTACCACTCTTTAAAAATAAAATAAATAAAAAATTACCATATGTTTCTGCTTTTGTCCAAACTCGATAATTCCTAAATGTTGGATATTTTGCACATGATTCAAAAATTTTATATCCTGATTCTACAGACTTTGGTCAAACTTTTAAAACTTTGGTAATAAGATTATGACAAGAGCTGCCATGATTCATCGGCGCTATGATATCCTTTGTATAATATTAGTATTATTTTTCGGGAAAAAAACCCTAATGTTTCCCTCCCATCCTTCCCATGAAATAAATGGGTAATCAATCCCCTGGAGTGTGTCACTCATTAAATATTAACTATTTTAAACTAAATTAGTAATTTCCCGGCTATCTGTATGAGGCTGGGAAATAAGTAAACGAAGATTCCCGGTCATTTATAAACTCAGCTAATCACTCGCAATTTTTAAAAATTAGTATAAAAGTGATCCTGAGTGACACTTAGTGCGACAGGGGATTATTAATTTTATTTTTTTAAATTGATGGAATTAAAGAGTTATCCTAAATTAAAATCGAAAATTCGCCGCATGAAACTCAGTTGATCATTCGTCAATGATAATGAGAATGTTGAGTTACACCAATCCTACTTTAGTTAAACTCCTGGTGTAATTATATAAATATGGGTAAGGAGATGAAAATTCGTTCAAGTTCTCTCATTCATTTTTAATCGCCGTAATACCGTGAAAATAATAATTAAGCATTATATATATATAATATATATAAATATATATATAACAAATTACATCAAATCTAAACCAAGTTATAAAGTTTATTAGACTCAATTTTTGCGTATAAGAAAAAAAGAAAATGTCTAAATTCGATAAAGATACTCTTTTCTTGTTATTTGAAGAACTACAAGATGATTCAAAATCGCTCTTTTCATGTTTAATGGTTAATAGACTTTGGTGCGAAACTGCAATCCCAATATTATGGAGGAATCCTTGGAGTTATGGTATTAATTATGGTAACAAAAACTATTTGTTCATCATTATTGCTTATTCTTTATCTGATAATGATAAAAATATTCTAACGAGGCGAGGAATTCAATTACCTCCAATTTCACATCAATCACTTTTATTTGATTATTTGTCTTTCTGCAGAAGTTTTAATGTGAACATTATTAATAATATAATTTCTACTAGAACTACTTCAACTTTTAATCAAGTACTTTTACGACAAGCATTTTATAATCTTTTAATGATAAAAAGTTCGGGGTTGAAATTTTTGGATATGGTATCAATTAATCAACAAATATTTTATCTTTCGGGAGCGTTTCATTTTGAATCACTTTGTGAATTAAAATGTGAAACATCAACTGATTCATCATACTTTTTTGAATTAGCGCAGATCTGTCAAAATATACAAAGAATCATAATTAATAATACGAAATCAAATGCTAATGATGGAATTGTTCGATTAATTGAAATTCAGGAGAATTTAAAATATTTTGAGTGGAAGGATAATATAGATGATGATTTAACATTCGACCTTGATGAGAAATTTTTTCTTGTATTAGAAAAAAAAGCGAATTCTCTTAAGCATTTAATAGTAACTTTTAAACTTACTGATTATTATGAACACTTACAAAGTATATTACCAAAACTTAACAAATTGAAAACATTGAAAATAGATAATATTCTTTTACATAATGAAGAACAATTAAAAATGTCAATATATCATGATCTTGAAATTTTTAATACGGATTACATTAAAATCGACACAGCTGCTAGTGTAATTAAAAATAGTGGAGGTCATATTAGAAAAATCTTATTAAAATATTCTTATTATTATTATGAAGATGAAGATGAAGATAATTTTGATGAAGATTTTATTATCCTTATTCGTTCAATTTATGAAAATTGTCCTTTAATTGAATATTTATCAATTCCATTTTCAGCATCAAAGGAACGTTTCATTGAATTTGAAAATTTATTAATACGTTGTCAAAAATTAAAATCAATATTATTAATTTCATCAAGATATGGGAGAAAATTGGAAAATGGGGATGAAATATTAAAAATTTTAATTAGATCTTCTTCAAAAAATTTAAGAGAATTTAGATTTTTTGATTCTATTAAATTTTCTTTAGAAGATTTGAAAACATTTTTTGAAAAATGGAAAGGTCGACCCGCAATTTCTATAATTACTTCTAATCTTATTTATAGGAGGACCGATTATACAAATCTTATCAATAAATATAAAAATGATGGCGTGATTAAAGAATTTAAGTATGATATAAATCTTAATATTTTTTATGATAATTAATTAGGCAAATGTTTAAATAATTAGTGAAATAGTTTTTGTAAAAGTTCATGTAGTGGGATAAGTTCAATTTAATAAATTCAAGAAAATTTTTCTTAAATATAAAAGCAAAAAATATAATATAATTTATTACTTTATTTTACTAATTGAATCTTTATATTCTTCTCGGTTAAAATACCTTCGTAGAGCTGCATACATTACCCCGAATTTTATTCAAGGAAAGCTAAGTTAGATTGAATGAATACTAAGTAAGGAAGGAATTAATAACTTGGCCAAAATTAGCACCCAAAATATCAAAATTTGTACGAGGATCGGTTCCCGTGTGTTAAAAAGTTTTAGTTAGAAGCAGGTGTCAAGTAACATAATAATTTATTATTGCACGGGCGTGCTTATTAATGGTATGATGTGGCACCCAGTGCCACATCTCATAAGCACCCGTGCGATAACATTAAAGAATTTTTTTATTTTAATTCAAAAAAATTTTGTATTTAGATTATAAATATTAATACATTTGAAACGAAAGCCTTTCAAACAAGAGGT